CTCCTGCACTGGGGGAGTACATCACGGTTTTCCTCGCGATGTTCGGAACTCCTGGCCATCTCAGAGCAGGCTCAGGAGTGCTGAATTGCTGTGTGAGAGGGGCCTCCCCTTCTCCCGGGTTTACGATCTATCCCACCTAACAAACTCATTTACTAGAACAAGATTAAGTTGCCTGTTCAAGAAACACGACTAAGACTGGCAAAGGCTCAGCCCTTTCTCACGAGTTAACAAAAACAGCTCAGGCTCTGAAGGCAGATTTGAGCTTGAATCCTGGGTCACACCCCAGCTTTTGAACTGGAGCAGGTCATAACCTGACCCAAGGGAGAGCATGTCTCCCAAGGTGCTCGGGTGGATGTGTCTACTGTTCTAGAAAGAAAGGGTCCCTCAGGGAGGCTGAGGAAGAGACCATCACCTGTCCTCAGGCTACCACTTTTAGTTAAAACAAGGTTACACAGGAGCAGGGTGGACCTTAATCCACGGTGGCTGGTGTCTTTTAAAAGGGGGCATTTGGTTACAGACGCTCAGGGTCTCAGGCAGCTGGGGAAGGCAGGGAAGTGTGTGTTCACTTTACAGCTCGTGGGAGGTTTTCTGAGATGAAAGACTTTTTTTAAAGTTTATTGAAGTAACGTTGGTTAATGCCAGTCTAGTATCACTCCATTATCATTATATTTGACCCCCTTTACCCTACCCACCCTTCCCCTCCCTCCCCTTTCCCCCAGTAACCACCGTTCTGCCGTCTGTATTTAGGAGTTTGTTTTGTCTGTTATTTGCAACAGGGCGGACCCTGAGGGTATTATGCGGAGTGGAACACGTCAGATGGAAGAGGAGGAAAACCGCATGACTTCACTCACTGGACTTCTCTGTGTGAAATAAGGGGCAGGGGCCCGGAGTGAGTGGCCCAGACCCCGGCCGCTCCGCTCCGTGGGAGAGGAGAGACGGGGAGGAGGGGGGCCGCAGCACACAACACAGGCTAGGGCCAGGTCTCTGCAACCGGGGTGGCCGGTGGTGGCCAGTTAACCCTCCTCGCCCTGACCTTAGAGGGATCGAATAACGCAGGTCTGCTGCCTGTGAAGTGACGGTTTAAGGAAATAGCAGGTCAGTAAAACTTGAAGCTCTAGTCCCTGGACTGTTGTTAACACTGGCCTGAAGCTACGCAGTGACCCCAAGCTCTCCTCTCCGAGGCCTATCTCCTGCAGATCATACCTCAGGTGGGGACGCACCTGAGGCCCCGGGCAAGCACGGGTTCCCCGTGCTCCACACCCACCTGCTTACAAAGCACGCCGCCGCCCGTGGGCCTTGTTAAACATCGCTTGTGTTCAGCTGAGAGGCCCACAGAGCAACCCAGCAATACATCCACACTCAGGGTTGGAGATACTTCTTGCTCTTGCCTTGGAATTCACACCTAGAGGTTAGCCCTGTTGCGTAGGTTTATACAGGTAGGCCCGGGGTTTGTGTTATCAAGTCTACTGACAAAGTGCAGACGACAAGAGCAGCGGAGAGCTTTTGGGGTGACGGCCCAGCCCTCAATAGTTCTCCCTTCTAGTAGAAAAGTCCAGAGCTTCATCCCAGCATTCCAGAATCACCAGGTGGGTACCATGTGGCTAGGTGAGCCCCAGGTGACTTTGCCTCCAACCCCCTTCCATCGCTAAGATGACTGAATAGACCCTTGGTCCAATCGGGGAGAGCATTTCTGGGAATCTGTAGGCAAGGGGCTGCCCTTGGGGAGCACTGGGGGAGATGGCGGCACCAAGGCCGGCTGCAGGGGGTGGGGGTGATCTGCCCCAGACACACTTCAGAGATGGCCCTTGGGTGTGGCACCCCTGAGCTACAGGGAAAGATCCAGAAAGGCAGATTCCTAGATGGAGCACGGCCCCGCCCTCCCAGGATGGGGACTAGCCCCCCTGGCAGCACCTGAAGAGGGGAATGCCCCCCTCGCTGCCTGCTGCTCCCAGCACAGAGCGCTTTGTAGGGGGCCCGACACTCTTGAACAGGAGTGAGCAGTTGCCTGAGCCCGGACAGCAGAATGTGGGGGTTTGCGAGAGAGTGAGTAGGTTTTACGGGCCTTGGAGAGAAGTTCAGAACTCCTGTCCGCTCCCTCGTCTCTGTTCCTCCCTGAAGCTCCTGGGAGCAGGAGCCTAACTCGTCTCTTCTGTACATTCCCATTCACGGGAGAGGGAACGGGGCCCTGAGGCTGAGCGTGCACAGGAAGACGGAATTCCCGTCGAGCCACGCGTCCCCAGCCCTCGCTTTCCTACGGAGCTTGCAGCAGACCTGACCCGAAACCCATTCCGCTTCAGCGAGGGGAATCTGTAAGGCCTCCTACACACACCTGACGCCAATTCTAAGGGTTTCGTCCAAGTTACCCGGCTCACGTGACCGCAACCAGCTTATCCGAAGCCAGCCCAGGGATTTCCTCGAGGAAGATTTAAGGAGGTGCCCTAAATAGCACGTTTTCCAGACACGCTAATTTACACTTTGGCATTCAGTGCAAGTCCAGGCGGTGCTCTCCTTGCCCATTCCCTCCAGGGCACAACAATCAGCAGCTTCATTTGGCTCACCTGGTGGGCCCTGGGCTAAGGGGAAACACGTGGTCCCTGTTCCTACGATGTTTACCACGTGGAGGGGAGGCGGGCCGACTCACCCAGCAGGCGCAGGAGTGAACATGACACATACTTCAGTCTACTTTGAGAGTTCAGTTGAAGGGACAGGCCTCTCCTATCCCTGCCTGGATGCCAGGGAGACAGCTGGTTACACAAGTGAGATCCTGCAAAGTCCTGGGCTGACACGTAGAGTCACTGGGGTGGAGACCCCTCAGGTCCCCGCTGGAGGCCGAGGGCACACTGTCAGACTACATTAATGAAGGTCTGGGTGAGGAGGAGGCGAACCCCAGGAAAAGTACTGGAACCACAGCTGGCTCCACCCTGGCGTTACGGAGCCCACCACACCGAGATCACCCCGCAGAGGAACCAGGGGAATGGCGCCCCGTGCCCTTGCCTTTCAACCCCGGCAACTGCCTGCCAGTCATGTTTGCAGACATACTTTTTTTTTTTTATCACAATCGGCACCGCTCCCCACCCCCCTCAAGCTTCTGAGCACCCAGGCCCACACAGGACCTTCCACAGAGCCTGGCACCCTGCCAGGGACTCAGGAGCGTTTTACCCAAGTTTGCTTTCTAGTCTCACGTTGAACAGCGCTAAGTCTGACAAGGCTTTTTCTGCACCTACGTAAGGGTTATCACAGCTTGCAGGAGCTTGAGGTTGGTGCCTTGGTGTTATGCCCCTAAGTCAGCCCCTTCCCATCACATAAAAGCCCTCGGGGTGAATTTCAACTGTCACACCTGCTCTAATTAAACCCCAGTCCCATTAAGGTCTTATAATTATATGCTGGCTTCTCAATAGTTAACAGCCCTCACTTGTGGTTTGCGCGTTTCTGCTGAAAGAATCCCAGCATTTTGCACCAAGACAACATTTCCAGGGTCGGTCAGTTCACGGAGAGACCTTCGCGTCTATTGCTCCTTGGCTTGCGTGTGGGGTGTTCGATCACCCACTCGAGCATCGACGATGAGCCAGGGACGGGCGTATGAGAAGTGTTTGCAAGGGTGGAAGGTTGAACTTTCAAGTACTCAGGGTGGGTGACTTGAGCATTTCAGTCCTTTCGGACAAGTAATTCAAACTAAAGAACACCGAGGCCCTGGGGCAGGAACAACTAGGATATTTCCGGACGGCCAAGGTCAGCTTAGGGGAGAAAAGCGAGGCGGAAGGGTACAGTGGAGAGTCGAGGACAGTGTAGATGGAGCCGGAGAATCCCTGAGACCTATCCCAGAGGGTCCGGTGGGCCACTTCAGGGACTTTCAGCTTTTACTTTGAGACTTGGAGCTCATGTAGGTCTTAAGCGAGGCAAGAGTGAGTGTTTTCAGCCTGAAGGAAGCACCCAGGCTGCAACCTGGGGGACAGACGAAAGCTGAGGAGGGAGGAGCCCAAGCCAAGGTAACAAAGCCTGGGACACAAACCACCCCCCAGGTGAGCCGTCGGAACTTGGTTCCGTAGAACAGCCAAGGAGGCAGAACATGACTCAGCTGGATACACTTTTTAAAGTGGGAAGTCAACAGAACTTCCCATTAGACACAGAGTCACGTTTGAGTCGCTCAAACGTTTCAAGCCCAAGCTAAAATAAAACACGAAAGTACAAGCAGGCTCTTTACGTATTCTCACGTGGACCCTTCCCCCCAACTCGGGGGAAAAAAATGGTACCCCCCCAGCCGAAAGGTGAGGCTCCAAGTAACACCTCAAAACCCTCGCTTTTCCCCCAAGAGCCGCTGCTTTGATGCTATAAAAAGAAATTCCCCTTTCCTTCTGCTTTCTTGACGAGGAAATAAACCCTGGGTTTCTTGGAACCTACACCCCCTCCCCCACCCCGCGCGCTCTTGTTGGCTTCTTAGCTTTTTAAGTTACGAGAAAGCTCAGGCCCAGCAAAAGACACCCCTCAAGTTCCTAAGCCTGCCGCTGTTTCTGAGGGGGGATCCCGCTCTCCCACTTTAAGAAAAAGCACTATGCTTGCAAAACCCCAGCGGGCGCCCCACAGCTTCTGCAAACACAGGGCGCCGACTGGGCCGGAAGCCAAGGGCTCGGGAACGCCCGCTACGCAAACATAGACATGGAGGACTTCCCCAGACTCTTTCTTCCCCCCTTCACACGCCGAAGCTTTTCAGCGCCCCCAAAGCCCAGCCTCCCACGACCCAACCCTCTTTCTTAACACCGACCGCGCCACCGCATCCAAAAACATTCTGACGGGAAACGCAGCTCGCGCCACCTTTTCATAGGGCCGCCGGGTGACGACACTTCCGGAGGCGGGGCCTCCGGGCGGGGCCCGCGGAGGGGGAGGGGCGCGGCCCGGGCCGCGCAGGCTCGCCGGGGCCGCAGCGCCGAGCAGAGCGCTTGACTATATATGGTCAAAGCTGGGGGCGAGCCGCGCGCGGGGCCGCGCTTCCGGGTTCGGCGCGTCCGCAGCGGCTGCGCGCAGGGCAGGGCGCGAGCAGACCTCGGAGCCCCGGCCTCGGACCGCCCCCTCTGCGTCCGGCACGCCCGGCGCCGCCTTCGGTCCATTTCCCCGGCTCGGCCTCGGCCAGGTCTGATTCGCAGCGCGGGCAGCCCCTGAGGATCGCGGCGAGCGCGGGGCGGTAACAAGTGGGCGAGGATGCCGTACGAGATCAGTAAGTGCCGCGGCCCGGTGCCCCTGGGGTGCACGCCCGCGCTGCGGGACCCCCTCGGTCATCGGTGGGGCGTGGGCGGCTCGGCGGGGTCCACGGACGCGGGGGAGGGGTGCGGGCGCAGGCTCGCGAGCGCCTTGCCGCCCTCGGGGGCGACATCGATCTTGAGGGCCCCAAAGTTGGAGCTGCGGGCCGGGCCCTGTGGAGCCCCCGCGTCCCCGAAGGGCCTGGAGGGGATAGTGGACCAGGAAGTCGCAGGATCCCCCGCGCTCCTTCAAAGTGCCGTCCGCCCCTCCCGTGGAGGCAACAGGTGACCGGCTGAGACCGGTCCTGAGCCCCCGCTCTTCTCCCCTCCGTCCTCAGCCAGCAGGGGACCGAGGCGGGGCGCTCCCTAACGTGCGCCGCTGCGTTTGTGTCTCCGCAGAGAAGGTGTTCGCCAGCCTCCCGCAAGTGGAGAGGGGCGTCTCCAAAATCATCGGCGGCGACCCTAAAGGCAATAATTTTCTCTACACCAATGGAAAGTGCGTTATTCTACGAAACATCGATGTAAGTATCCCCTTCCCCCCCACCCGGCGCCGGTTCAGTCCTGAGCAGCGTAGCTCGTGGTTAATTCTCCTTCCCCTTCCACCCTTTCCTTCCCGGACCGTTGGCCTGGGAAGGAGAGGACACCACACCCCCTCAGCCATGGGACCACCCCTCAGAAGCCCTGGAAGACTGTTCTGAGTTTATCCAGAACCGGCTCTCTTCATGGGGAAACTGAGGCTCAGATTGGTTCCCATAAGCAGAAGGGCTCTGGAGTTGGATGACACAGGCCCATCAGCTGCTGCTTGACCTTGGGGTGGTTGGTGACTTAGGCCTCTCTGAGCCCCAGTTTCCTCCTCTGTGAAGTGGAGATGATGAGCTGAGGCTCCCCCCACTTCCCCTGGCTGCCCTGCCCAGCTGAACGAGAGGAGGTGGCCCTCGGGCTCAGCATGACTGGCACACACCCAGCACTTGGTAAATGGGCACTTACGCTTAATCACTGGTAACACCCGGGGTCTCCCAGCGTGGCTGAGCCCCCACTCACACCCAGGCCTCTGCACTGCAGCCTCACCTTCCCCTTAGGAATCCGAGCCCCAGTGCAAAATCAGAAACCGGTTAATTCCCATGAATCACCAGCCAAGGCGGGCCTCCTGTCCCCAGGCTAAGAATGCTTCCAGAGCCAATTCCTTGGGAAATCCTTGCAGATTTCTGCACTGCTCTGTGATCATTGAAATGACCCAGTCTGCTTGTCATTCTCCTCACTGCCAGGATGGCACACTGAAACCTTTCTTCTCCCTAACTCAGGCTGAGTGACGAGGTGGGGGGTGGAAGCGAAAGATGCCAGCAGGACCATTTGGGGCTGGAGGGGCCTCTCAGCCAGGCTCGGGCCTTTTATACAGGATGTAGGTGGGTGGTTTTGCTTGGCGATACTCCCCAGGGGTGTCTGCTTCGCATCTCTCGTGAGTACCTGTGCTCCGTGGGTTGGGATTGTCACTGATCAGGTGTGCTTGCCTTCGGGAACCCCACGGCTGGCTGAGGGAATGAAGGGCGTCTGTGGGCCTCGGTTTCCTTGTCTGTAAAAGGGGAGCCTCTGCGTGGTCAAGGTGCTGCTGGTCCGCCGCCCCCCGGCGAAGCCAGCCACTGCTGCATCTCTGCTGGAAAACAGGAGCTCGGTTTAGCAGCTTCTGCCCAGGGCTGCTGGGCACCTCCGGTGAGGGGGGGGGTGGGTGAGAATGTGCTTTGGAGGTGCTAACAGCTAGTCTGCCACTCACATGGATTCTTAGAAAGCTGGTCTGGTCTCGCTCAGGACTAGGGGAAGCATCGCCACGGACTTTGATCGTAATGATCTCCACAGTGATCTCCAGAGTGAGGGCCTGAAATTTTGAGAAGAGCTGAGATGGCCTCAGGTAGATCCTCACCTGTAGTTGGGCAAATAGAACAGACGAAAGCATCTCAGGGACGCAGACTGTGGACCCCTAGGGCTTGCCCCTGGCAAGGCAGGCGCGTGTCATGGCCGCCTGCACTCACTTCCAGTCGCCGACCTCACACGAAGTACCTACTGCATCCGGTACCGTGAGTGGTTGTTATACTGCAATGCCTCCTTCAACCCCACAGTGGGCCCATGGCTCTCAGGGCGCCGGGCTCCGTTAGGTGAAGGCGGCCAAGAACTGGAGCTGGTTCCTGCGGAGAAGCTGTTGACAGCCACGGACAAGCACCCCCATTGCAGGAGGCAGCCCCTGACTTGGCAACCCCGTGCCGGTCCTTTTTTCTGAGCCCTGTGCTTTGACCACCACCCCCACATTGACCATTCTCCTTTGAGGATGCAGTTGCTTTCACTTCCCAGCTGTGTGCAAGTTTCTGCAGGGCCAGGACAGGATGGGATGCCGCTGAGGTGTCCCTCCGTGGTCTGGGTATAAACCAGGCACGTGGGCCCTTGTGTGGTTGGTGGGCCCCTGGTTGTGCAGTAGAGCTGGTGCGACTCTCAGGGGGGCAGGTGCTCCTGTGAAAAAGACCAGAGTCCTCGTCAACGTGCAGGACTGGTTGGAGGACAGGCTCAGTGTGTGGAAGAGGGGCAGGAAAGGGGGGTGGGGACCTGACGTGGACTATCTGGTTGGCATCTCAGCCTCAGTGTGCCCAAAGGACACATTTGGGTTGCCCATGTGTCCTTCCCCCCACCCCAGGCCTTGGGCTTGCTTCCGCCCTTCTCTCCCACACCGTATTTAACTCTTCACGGAATCTTACTGATGCCACATTCACAGTAACTTCAGAGCCTAACAAGTTTTCACTGCTTCTGCTTGCACCCTCATCCAAGCTGCCATCCCCTCCTGGACTGCAGAAACACACACAGCGCCTGGGTCTGCGCTGTGCCCCGCACTGGACCGGTTGCGTTAGACCAGGTTGCTCCGCCGCCCTCCCACACTGCTGCGGCTGAGGAGGCCTGTCCGTCTGGCCCCAGGTCACACCTCACGCTGCTCCAGGCAGAGCCTGGCAGAGCCCGTCCTTGGTGCTCGCTGTCTGGCAGGGAAGCCAGCTCGGGAACCCCAGAGCCCGGACTGACGCGGAGGGAGCCGTGGGGCACTCCGCACAGGAGACTCCGGTTGCCTGCAGGCTCAGGGGAGACCCCTGGAGGGCTGGTGGTGCCAGTCGTGTGGAGCGTGGCTGGCAAGAGGGCTCCCCGGGGTGGGTGCAGGGCTCTGGCCGTAGGTGTCAGGCAGCCCTACAACGGAGCCCAGCCCTGGTTCAAAGGGCACCAGAACCATTACAGAGTTACCCAGCCAACAGTGAAGTCTGCGGTAGAGGGAGTGGATTCTTTTGTATCTGAGGTTCGGTGCAGGGTGACCAGTTCAGAAGCCACCAAGGATGTACGTACCACTTAGCAAGTGCTCGTCAGCTGGTACAGCCAGTCTTTGCTGCTTGGGGCTCCCTGCACACAGCCAACCCTGTCTCCCTGAGCCCTGCCTGTGGCCGAGGTGCCCGAGGCTGAAATCAGGGCTCCTCCGGCTGTTTGCCCCACCCCCTGGGGGTATATTTAGTGATCTCGGAGGGCATCTCTGTGCTGTGCTACAATAGATAGAGGCCAGGGATGTTGCCAAACACCCTGTAAGGCCCAGGGCTGCCCAGCAACAGAATTATCCAGCCCAAGATGTCAGGCGTGGCCGTGGAAGAACCCTGCCAGGTGAATTCTAATGCACCGGGTTGAGCACTTCAGAAGAAGAGTGCCCCAACCACTTTGGGAGCAGGACGGAAGACCCACGGTGCCACCGAGCAGCAAGGAAGGCTTCCGGAGAACGCGCACTTCTGAGCTGGGTTTTGAGGGTGAGGGTGAGTTCTCCAGAAGGAAGGTTGAAGCAGAGGCTGCAGGGAAGGGGAGAATCCAGACCGGAGTCACCGGTCCACCGAGGCTGGGAGAACGTCCTCTCTGCACTGTTTGGACTCCCGCAGGGTGGGTGGGGACGCCGAAGCCTTGTTGCAGGAGAAAGAGAAGGTTGCAGCCTCCCACGTGGAGCCAGCGGAGAGGCGGCCGTATTTCCGGTGGGGCTGTGGACGTTGCCCCTTCCTGGGAATGGCTCGCTCAAGTCCTTGCCCGGCTCCGACCCTTGGAAAGTCCCTTCCTGTGCCACCTGCCCCGCCCAACAAAGGCCATCACGCAACCTTAGGGGCAAACTGCTGTGGTGACCTCTGGCCCTAGCTCAGCACCCAGGCAGGAATGCAAAAGCTTGGGGGCGCGGGGGCGGCTCAGGCCGACACTGCTGGTGCGCAGTGGACGTCGGTGGTTCCCCTCTGTGCCGCGTGGGGCTGGTCTCCGTGGGCAGCGCTGGGCTGGGAAAGGTCTCGCAGTCTGTTGGGTGTGTTGCCCATGGGAGGGCTCTCCACACAGGGCCAGGGCACGGACAGGGACGGTCTGAGGTTGGGCCCTGAACCTGCCCTCCAACGGCGCCGAGGGAGCACCCTCCCCCTGTCCCGCAGACGTGCGGTGGGTGGCCCATGGTCCCGAGTCCTGTCACATTTGTGACGCCTCTCGAACAGTGTCTTCTGTGTCTCACCTCCAGTCCGGCCCCTGGCTTCAGCAGGGGGGCACCTTGTGGGACAGAGCAGGGGCCAGGCAGCTTCGGCCTGGAGCGGGGGCCGTGGGGTCAGACCTCGTAGCTGCTGAAGGAAGGGTTCCGAGGCGGGAATGGGGGACCTGGAGACCACGGTGGACTGCTGGCAGGTAGAGATCAGGGTCCCGGGGAGGGGGAAACAGGTAGAACTGGGTGGGATCTGGTTCGGGCAGAAGGAGGAGGTGGGCTTGGGCACTGTTAGAAGATGGGGCAGGGCTGGGGGCGGGGGCAAGGCAGCCCAAGGTTTTGGTGGCCCTGTCAGCCCCTGCCCGCATCTGCACGGTGCCCCCAGGGCCTTGGCAACAGGCCTGCTGGCCGAGACCTCTGACTGCCAGAGCTGGTGTGTCCGCAGCTCAGGAAGGAAGTCCCGGGGCTCGGGCGCCCCCCGAAGCCCCTGGTCTGCAGGTCTCCTGAGGACGGGGGAGGGGCCCCGGCCCAGCAGTGTGGCCCCTTGGCCCACCCACGTTTGGTTTTCCCCCCTCCCCGACTCCCCAGGTGAGCCGCTCACCCCAGTCCTGCTGGCCTGGTCCCTGAGACAGCAGGAGGCTCTGGAGCAGGCGCTGGGCCCAAGTCCTGGTGCCTCCGGGCCCACTGCCGGCGGACGGGCCTGATCTGTGGCAGAACGTGTTGGGGACAGGGAGGGTGTCACTTCTGCCGCTGGTGGCCAGGCTCCCTGAGTGGGGAGGAGTGACACAGGCGGTCCTGTCCAGCCTGCAGACCGCTGCCCCCACGGGCCGGTTGTACTTGGAAGAGGAACATCTTGTCCAGCCCAGAATTATGGGGCTGAGCCTGCCAGGGGCAGCCTCGGGAGTTTCCCACGCCCTGCCCTGTGCCCGCAGACGCCTGCCCCTTTGGGGGAAAGGGGTTCCTAGGACAGCCTCCTCTCGGGGCCACTGCCCACTGCTCTTCCGTCACCCACCCCTCCCCGAAGGCCCCCCGGGCCGTGAGCGCCAGCGTGGGTGGGTGGTTGCCCTCCCAATGGTGGCCCGGGCACACTGTGGGTGCAGCCGCTTTGTGGGGGACTTGCCTGGGGCAGGACAGGGGACCCGGAAGGGCTGCCCTGGGCGGGGGCAGGTGGAGCAGGCAGGCGTCTCGTGGACTCCAGGCGTCTTTGAGTTGCATCGGGGGGTGATGGAGAAGGAAGAAGCCTTCCATTTTAAGTACAGACGGACAACTTGAGTTTTTGTGAAGTGTAGTCCTGTAACCGCCCCCACAGTCCACAGAGAACATTCCAGTCATTCCGCCAAGCCCCCCTCTGCCCCTTGCAGCCAGTCGGCCCCCTCTGCCCCCAGCCCCCAGCAGGGACCCACCTGCTTCCTGTCACTTCGGGTTTGCCTTTCCTGGCATTTCCCGTGGGAGGAGGCGTGCTGCTGGGTGTGGGCTCCCCGTGGTGGCGGGGTGCTCCCGCCTGGTCCTCGTGTTGCCGGCCCGGGTCAGTTGGTTTCCCCGTCTCCTGGCGGGCGACCTTCCGGTGGCTTCCATTTTCGGGCCCTGATGGATAAAGGGTCACTGGCCGTGACTGTGTGTGGGCTCGTGTGTTTATTTCTCTTGGGGCGCTGCCTGGGGGTGGATTGCTGGGTGTCTGCAGGGTGTGTGCGTGCGTGCTTGACTCTGAATGCCCGGCCCGGCTGTCCTCCGGCTGCTCTCGGTCCCCCGGCAGCACGGGAGCACCCCACTGCCCCGCCCCCGCCCCCACCCCTCGGGCAGGCCGCCCGGTGGCATCCCGGTGAGTCCGCGGCGGGATCTCGCTGGGGTTTTGATGTGCATTCCCCCGAGGAGCAGCGATGCTGAGCGCCTTTTCATCCGCTTATCTGCCACTCGGACTATCTTTTCTGGATATCTGACATCTTTCTAACTTCATTAGCAAATGTTTATTCCGAGACGAATTAATTTACGAGTCCCGTCACAGTGAGCGTGAAGTCTCGGGGGTGAGAGAGCAGGATGTGAAACTGTTTTCCTTCAAAAGGCGTTTCTCGGGCGCCCGCTGGTTGCTGACTGCCGTGGTGGCTGGAGGCGGGGCACGCAGGGAGCGGGTCACAGGGGAGTCGGAGGTGGGGGGGGTGGCGGGTGTCGTAGCTGCCTCACAGAGGAGGGGACGAGCCATCTTGGGGGGCTTGGTGGAGGAGGTGGCTCGGGGGGGGGGGGCGTTGAGATGCACTGGTGGCGATAGCAGCCAGGGACTTGGGGCTGGCAGGATCAGCGGGAGGTGGCCGGTGGGTGACGGGGCTGGGATTTAGGGTGTGCTGCTCTGGTCTCTGCCTGGCGGGGAGGAGGGCAGTGGGGCTGCTGTGGCCGGAGGCTGAGCAGAGCCCAGGCCTCTGATCTTGAAAGGAGATGGTGGGGGTCTGTCGGGGGTCAGGTTCGTTGTGCCTGCAGCAGCCTAGTCTGTGGGAAGCTGCCTCTTCCAGGGAGAAAGTTGACAGCGGGTTTCGGGGACTCAGGGGCCGAGTCTTGATTCCCTCCTGAAAGCCAACTTGGCCACGGAAACAAATCGAGAGCATCTCCGTGTGCGCATGCGTGTGTGTGGTGGGGGGAGGGGGAGGGGAGGGGGTGGCGCTGGCACTCACATCCAGTGAGTCACGTGTGAAAACCCTCCTGTCGCGCAGTAGAGATGCTTCTGGCCCGGAAGGCCGGCCCCACTCCTGCTGCAGAGTCCGGCCAGTCTTTGGTCTGCGCCAGCCAGGGGCTGGGAGTCCGCCCTTCCCACCCGAGGGCGCTGACCGGAAGAGGCCCCCAGCCCCGTGCCCTGCTCTGTTCTCCTGCCTCAAAGCAGAGGCTCTGGTTTGGGTCCTACCCTGTGTGGCCGCCGGGGACAGGGCTGCTTCTGAGTGGGGGGGGGGGGGGCAGGGCAGCTCTGACTGCAGAATCGGCTGCTGCTTGCACACATCGGAGAACGTTTGCTTCCGATTTTGAGAATGAAACTTCTGTTTCACGTGCATATTTCACAAACACCTGGGAGGGAAAATCACCTTGACTTCTCTAACCACAGATAAGAGAGTTACGATTCCCTAGCGTTCTGCCCCCCAGAGGTAGTCAGGTAGGTACGCTTCTGGGCTTTTCCTTTGTGAAGCTTTCGACTTCGGTTTTGTGACACTGCCCCCTCCAATCCAGCCGTCGGGAGGGGGGCAGTGGTTCCCGCGTGCCTGCGTTCACTCGAGTCCCCCTTGCAGAACCCAGCCGTCGCCGACATCTACACGGAGCACGCCCATCAAGTGGTGGTGGCCAAGTACGCGCCCAGCGGGTTCTACGTCGCCTCCGGAGGTAGGTGCCTGTGTGCGCGTGGCTCGTGAACGCACGTGGGACGGCCGAGGCGGCCCTAGAGCCGGGCTGGGCCCCTGTCTCGGGGGGGGGGGGCAGCTGAGGGGGCATGGCGGGGGTGCGGCCAATGTGATTAGTGTCTTGGGGCTGACAAGAACAGCGTAAGCCACCCGCAAGCCCCATCCCATTACCTGTTAGCTCGCAGCTTGCCAGCTGGTCTGCCCTCGGAGGTCAGCAGAAAGGCTCTCGTGCGGCTGGCCGGAGGCCTTGCGGGCGGCCGTATCAGGGTTACTGGAGCTCGTGAGTGTGTGCGCGCGTGGGCGCCTCTGAATGGCAGCTTTGTCTCCTGCCGCCTTATCTGCTGCTCCCTGCCCGGAACCCAGCGCAGTGCCAGCCTCGGTCTGGGCCCGGGCCCCGCCAGGCTGTGTGGCGCAGTGGGCCGCTGGGCGCAGGGCTCTGCCCCGTGGTGATGCCGTCTCCATTCGCCTCGTCCTTCCGGGTCGATCTCGCCGTTCACGGGTGAGAAGGGGGGGGCACAGAGTGACAGTGACGGACCCCGACCCCGAGTCCTGTTTGTCCACACGCTCGGCGGGCGTCTGCTGTCCGCCTCGCCTGCGCCCAGCCCGTCTCAGGCCCCAGGGAGAGAGCCCAGCGAGGGGCTGACGTGGGCGTCCCCGGGGCCCCGGAGAGCGGCACATGGAACCCAAGTGCCAGCGGAACTAACCAGCCAGGAGGGGGGGCCGGGATTCCCACGCGTCAGCACCAGCAGTGGCTTTGCCTACACTGCCCTCGCTGTGGGCGTGGCCGGTGGCGCCTGGGCCCAGCCCTGCAGGGCGCACCCCCCTGGCCGCGCAGCCTCCCTTGGACTGCCCGTCGTCCTGGGCCTCCTTTTTCTCTGCTGCACACCGGCTGCTGGTGCCTGCCAGGTCGGTTTGGGCAGGGTCCCGTGTGGCGATGCCTGTGAGATACCTAGGTCAGCTCTTGTGTGGTGGGCACCTGATGGCAGGTGACCATAGCGCCCGTCACCCCAACCGGACGCACCAGGCAGCAGGCCTGCTGGCTGAGCGCAGCGCTGGCCCGCCGGGTCGTGTGGGAAGGGCTTGGCCAGGCGTCTGGCACATGGTGGCCACTTACTGGTTTTTGTGTGTGACCTACTCGGACTCCTTCTGTAAAACCTGCTCTAGTTTATCTGCCGTGATTTATTTTAGCCTTCTGGATTTTTTTTTTTTTTTTGTTCTGGCCTAGCTTGCCAGCAAAGTGCCTCTTCATTAAAACCCCAGGATTGGCCCTGGGGCCTTGTAAGAGAGTGTCTTCTCGAGAGAGCAGCATTGGGGGAGGCCCCACTGCCTGAGGGGGGCCCGGCTGCTGCATCCCTGGCCCGTGTCCCCGGGCAGGGCATTCAGCCAGACAGACGTCGCTGGCCTTCAGGTGCTGATGCGGAGTCCGCGAGGAGGGCCGGCACAGAGAGGGTCACAGAGGACAGTCTACACACGTCAAGGGTCAGCTTGACATCTTCCCAGCGCGCGCCCTGGTTGAACGGGGGGCCCGGGGAGACTCGGGCTGCACGCGGGCCCAGGTGTTCTTGGGCGGAGCTCACGTCCACAAGTGAGTGCACTGGTCCTCCGCCCAGATCGACGTCAGTGACGTGTACCGCAGAGGCGAGAGGGGCCTGGCGCTAAATTAAACTGTGTGTGTGTGTGTGTGTGTGTGTGTGCACGCACGTGTGCGGTTTGCAGGGGGGAGGAGGAGGAGGAGACTGAGCGAGCCCTGTGCTCTCTGCCTCCATGCCTTGCCTGGTGCCTGCGGCGCCTGCCTGGGGTGGGGACTGGATCCCAGGGCCTCGAGAAGCCTCTGCTCACTGCCAGGCAGGGCGCCGGCCCTCTGCCGGGCCTCGCGGTCTCTGTAAGTCCGGCCGGCCCACTTCTGCGGGACATTTGAGCCCTCGGGAGCACCTGCTGTGTGAGGAAGCCTGTGCCAGGGCCTGACCCCCAGCCCCGAACGAGGCAGCCCGTGTGTCTGCCGTCGGGAGGGGCCACGGTGCTGCCAAGTGACGCTTCCCGGCATGGGGCCACCCCCGGGGCAGCTCCGCCCCCTCCCTAGCGGTGGCTTCCTTGGGTGATGTTGATGCTGACGGTCTGCACCCCAGGCAGTGATTTTCAGGGGACCCGCAGAAAGCAGGATCCCCGGGGCCTGAGCCCGGAGGAGGAGGAGGAGGAGGACGTGGGCGTTGCTCAGGCCTCTGTCCCCGCAGTCACTCTCCCCTGGCTCTGTGGGGTGGCCAGCACACAGGTGGCTGTGTGCTCGCCGTCTGTTGCCCTTGAGACCCCAGACAGCTGCCTGTCTGCCGTGCCCCCGGCATGTGCTGTGGCGCTCTGTCACTGCGGGGTGACTGCCCGGGGTGCCCGCGCCAGGCGGGGCCCGAGTGCCGGGTCTGCAGCTCCGTGGTGGCGGTCTGGCCGCAGCTGCTTCTGAAAGGAACCTGATGAGCAAGCAGGGCCCGATGGAGCGGGCCGCTGGGGGGCGGGGGCAGGGGTGGGGGTGGGCAGCGAGCCCGAGCTGACGGAGCACAGGCGGCGTGCGCCAAGCCCAGGGGGATGGGAGGGCTGGGCACACCCGCTGTGTTGTGGGGCGCCCCGGGCCTCATGCTGTGGGCAGCGCAGCCCTGGACGGCCCTGCAGGCCAAGTGCACACGAGCCCCTGGCCCCCTGCCGCTGCCTCGAGTTTCTCTGCTGGCCAGTTTGTTCAGTGAAGGGACGAAACCGAGGTCCAGGTCACCTCGTCATAACTCCCCATGGGTGGTAGACACGCCAGGCGGTCTTCCTAGACGTTGCCCGGAGAGGACTGGGGCCCCTGGGAGCCCCTCAGTTGGTGACGGTCCAGTGGGAGGCGTCTCCGGTCTGTCCCACGGCTGGCCCATGGGTGCAGCGTCTGCTCCCGGGGAGAGGCTCCCGCAGAGCCCGTGGTGTGCCGAGGGCTCGCTGAGACTCTCCGCCCGGGGACGCGTCTCAGCTTGACGACGGCCGTCCAGGCGGCAGTTACTCCCCCTGCTGTCGGTGCGGGAGGCCCGTTCGGACCCACTGGAGCCAGGCGCTGGTCCCTCCTCTCTTGTCCCCCGAACAGGACAGAAGCTGCCCTCGAGGGACCACCGTAGAGTTTGCGTTGGGTGCTCAAGCGGCCCCGGGTCCTGGGAGCGGCACCAGCTTACCTGCTGGGAGGGCGTCCCCCGGGCCCCTCGGGGCCGAGGGTTTAAGCCTCGAGTGTTGGTGTCGAGTCCTCTGTTTTTCTGCTAATTTGGGGGTCCGTACTTGTGTGTGGGGTGAGGGGGGGTGTGCTTGGAACTTGGCAACAGGCTGGTGGCAGGGAGGGGAGGGTCCGTTACCACTGACCCACGGCAGAGGCTGCGAGGCCCGCCCCCAGTTCTGACGGCAGCACGACCCCTCCCAGCGCCGTGTCTCACCGGAGGCTCGCCTGGGGCCGCAGCTGGGAGCTGGGAGCTGCGCTGGGCTGGGCTGCGATGAGTGAGGCCGCCGGCCTTGGGTTTGCCACCTGTGTCCCTGGGCTTGCCGCTGCCTGTGTGACCTCGTGATGTGGTGGTCACCGGCCGGGGCACAGATCCAGCAGTGTCCTCGTGGAGGCAGCGGGCTGGGGTCGGTGAGCGGCCGGGTGCTGTCACCCTGCAGACACGTCCCTCCACCCAGACAGCCTGTGCCCACGTGGCCCTGGGCCTGTGGTGACGTGGCTCTCGCCACCCCATTGTGTCTGCAGACGTGTCCGGGAAGCTGCGGATCTGGGATACCACACAGAAGGAGCACCTCTTGAAGTACGAGTACCAGCCTTTCGCTGGGAAGATCAAGGACATTGCTTGGACGGAAGACAGTAAGAGGATCGCAGTGGTCGGGGAAGGAAGGGAGAAGTGAGTCTCCGGCCTCGGCCCCTCCCTGCCCACGTCCCCTGCTTTGCTTCCCCCTCGGTGTCCCCGGGGGGAGGGAGGGAGGGGTGCGGTGGCCTCGGTGTGCCAGTGGGGGCTAGGATGTGCCAGGTCTGTTCCCAGAGGCTCCAGGCCCTTGGGCCTTCCTCACAGAGGTGTGACCAGCACGAGCTCGGGCTCCCTCCGGGTGGGCTTCAGTGACGTGTCACGACGGGCAGGCCCCCCAAGTTGGTCTCGGGGCCCAGGTACCTCCTCTGTGTCTTTGAAGTCCTGGGACTCGTCTCGTGCCCACGCTGCAGGCTGCAGGCCATGGGCAAGGGGGAAGGGAGAGACACGGCTCTTAGCAGGATTGGGGTCCCTCCCGGCAGCCGCACAGGGCCGCGCCTGGCTGCACGGGAGACTGGGTGGTCTCCCTAACTGGGCACGTCACCCCGGGTGCCTCTACCACAGGAGACGGGGCGAGGGGACACTGGGTAGGTGGCCCTCGGTGGCTGCTGCAGCCATGGGCCTAATGCCCAGTGGGGCCGGTCAGCCAGGGCTCCCTCTGGGGCACCACGGCTGCCATCACGGATTCGACCTGGGCAGGCACAGTCTTTATCCCCCCCCCCTCACAGGGGGGCTCTTCTTGGCGCATATGGTGGTAGGTACCAAGTCTTCCGTAGCGTTTCAAGTCCTCCTTGTTGGTCCTGACGGTTCCTTTTTGGTTTGATCGCGAGTAGTAACCAAAACGGTGCACCCTCACTGAACGCCCGCGGAGTGCAAGGCAGCCCCTCCTCCCCCAGAGGGGTCGTGGTGAGCGCTGTGTTCCCTGGTCCTGCCCAGCAAGGAGACCGCCGGCACCACGGAGCCGGTCCCCTGGCCAGTGCTCTCTAAGGCACCTTCCGTGCGGGAGGCCCGCAGGCGCTGGGCCATACAGACATGTCCGGATGGACCTCTGGTCTCTCCCGAAAGGCACGTGTCCTCGGTGCTCCTGAGACAAACACCGAGGAGGGCCAGACCGCAGCGCCTTCGGGGTGCGCTCCACAGAGGGGCGTGCGTCCTGCTGCACGGCCACGAGCTGGGCCGCCCGGCCGCCCGTGTGTCATCGGCTTCCCGGGGCTGATCTTTCCCTGTGACCCTCTCGTTGGTGAAGGTTCGGAGCCGTCTTCCTGTGGGACAGCGGCTCCTCCGTGGGCGAGATCACGGGGCACAACAAAGTCATCAACAGCGTGGACATCAAGCAGAGCAGGCCCTACCGGCTGGCGACAGGCAGCGACGATAACTGCGCGGCGTTCTTTGAGGGGCCACCGTTCAAGTTCAAGTTTACAATCGGCGTAAGTGGACTTCTCCCTAGGGTGGCTTCGGGTGAACTTGATGGCTGGTTTGTGAGGTCGGGGAGTCCAGACCTGCTCGCTGCTGTTGGCAGAGAGGCCGCGGCACAGACCAGGGGCTCGTGGGAGGGAAGCGGGGCTTGTGAGGGGCCGTCGCACACCCATCCCCGGTCCTCCTGCACTCACGATGGTGGGGGCGGTCCCAGCCCCAGCAGGAGGGCCCCCCGGGGCTTCGCTCCAGGACGCCGTGTGCATTCTGGGGGGGGGGGGGGCGTGCCTGCGAGCTGTGTGGCCAGTGAGCAGCCGGGCGTTCGGGCTGCGCAAGGGGCCGCCCAGGGCTGGCATCAGCCTGCTCTCCCATTGTGCCACCTTCTGGGCCACTGGGCCACCAAGGTGGCAGAGGACATGAGCTCCCAGTCTCATTGGGACTTGTCTCTGGTGCCTTCCCGGGGAAGGAAGATGGGTGCAGGGGCACCCTGTAGAGAGACACACGAGGATTGATAGGTGCTGTGAGTGCCCCAGTGAAGGGTCACAGGTTTGGAGGGTTAAATGTCTTTGGGGTCTCGGTCCCCGCTCCCCACGTGCCCCTGACTGGCACAAGGGCCTGACCCTCCCCAGGCCTCCCCTTCCCCATCTGCAAGGTGGGTGTGGGGGCGCCGGCCTCAGCAGGTTAACCAGGAGCTCAGGCTGTGCTCGGCCTCCCGCAGGTCCTGCCTCATCGAGGGTTAAATGAGGTCGTGTCCTTCAGGGTGCACCTTGAGGACGCCTGCTGACCTGGATGACAACGCAGTGAACCCTGACCCCGGGCCAGGTGTAGCTGGGAGGGGCAGTGACGCTGCCTCAGTGCTCCCCGGGGGGTGGGCAGTGGGCGGAACCTCCGGCCCATCTTGGTTCGGGCCCCGAGGACTCCCCAGAGGCTCCCTGGCAGTAGTGAGATGGTCTTCGTTCCGTCGGGGGCCGCTGAACAGGGCCTGGCCAGTGCCCGAGTGGCGAGTGGGGAGTGTGTCCTCCTCCCCAGCCCCCTGCACTCCTCCACTGCCCTCTCCTGGGCCCACTGCCCAACTGGGGGGCTGGGGGGGTCTTTGGTGAAGGCTGGTTCGTGGTCGGTGTTTCCTGAGTGGGGACATGCACCGTGGCAGGCAGGGAGACCTCCTGGCGGCCGTGGCTGCCCCGCTGGAGCTGTGCCCGAGCCCCCACCCGTTTTGTCTGGTGTCTGGGCCGCAGGGGGCGGGGCTCCAGCCCTGCCTGGAGGGAGGCCGGGGGCGGGGGGGTTCCTCTCTGCACAGGCGGGTTAAACCCAGTGCACTGGCTCAGGGGCGGGGGAGGGGATCTGACAGTGCAGCCCAGAGCCTGCGCGGGCCTTTGCCCTCACTGCCCCGCCAGCCTTCTCCATGTGCTCACTTGGCCGGAATGTTCTCTCTCCTTCTGTTCTCCTTTCTAGCCTGAGAACACAGCCCTCACCCTGAGGCCCCGGCCTGGGGTCATGGGTGGAGAGGTTCGCCCAGCTGGCACCTGCCTCCAGGGCGGGCTGGCAGCTTATCCTGAGTGCTCCTGTGGAGCCCATTGCGCCGGGGTGTAGGGAACCTCTTTTCATGGAGTGGAACTGTAGCTCAGCCTCCATGTGGAAAACCAGTGGGGAGCGAGTACATGCAGGACCACACCCACAGAGAGGGTTTCCTGTAGGGATCAGGCCTGCCTTGCACCCAGACTGCTGTGAGGCTTGCTTTTGCTAAAACTCCCTCACCCTGGACTGAGGCAGCAAGGGCTTACTGCACCTTCTAAAGTCTGAGCTGAACCTCCCAAGTGTGGAGTGTGACCAGTTCAACCACCTTTCCCCTGGGTCCGCAACATCCTTCTCTTGAAGTAACCAGCAGCATTCTTTCCTTGGTCATCTGTAAGAGGGGTCCCCCGCAGTGAGCCTGCGCACAGTAAACAAGGACCGTTCTCCATGCAGTGTTCCCAGGGAAGCAGTGAAGGCCTGGCCGGGCAGGGACTGGCTCTCTCTGGCCCCCTCGCCCTCTCCCTCTCCCTCAGAGAGTGGCCACGCCATCCCTTTTTCTGCACAGGACTTCAGTCCGCGTGTATCTGTTCTCTAGCAGCCACAGCGCGCACGGGTCCTGCCGGCCAGGACCCACCGCATGGGGGTCCCGCGCAGGGACCTCGGAGAGATCAGAAGGGACTGGGGCAAGAGCGGGGCATGCTGTGTCGGCCCAGCCCTGCAGCCAGATGGCACTGCGACCTTCAGGCCGGTCGCCCCGTGGCCCTCCCGGGAAGCAGGGTGACACGGGGCGCGGGAGGTGCCGCTGTACGGCCGAGTGTCCGTGTGGAGCTCTCGGGGCTCCCGGCGGCGCGGGGTCTGACAGGCTCGGCCGGCCTGGTGTAGAAGAGACAGGAGGGCCCTCGAGTCCCCGCACCCTCCTCCTGGAGGGCCCAGTGGAGGGGTGGACGACTTCGGGGGTGGGCCTGCGGCTCTTCGGGGCGCGTGTGCCGTGGGCCCGCACAACCCCGAGCAGAGCAGAGCTGTGCTGTGGAGGACTGGCGGGGGGCTGCCTGTCCACCCAGGTTCCAGCCCCTGCCCCTTCCCTCTGGACTGTAGGATAAGCGGTGGGCATGTGAGGAGCACAGGGGTCAAGTTCAAGTTACCACCTTGAAAAGGAGCGAGCTGTGTTGTGAGCTCAGTCCAGGTTGAAACAAAACTGTGTGAAGCGGGGGCGGCGGGGAGTGACAGCAGTTTTCCAGACAAGCCAGAGTGACTGGACTCAAGTCGGGCCACCCGCTGGCCGGAGTGTGGGGTCACGGTGCTGTCCCTTCCCGCTCGGACCGGCTGCTGGCTCCCGCTCAGCACCCTCCCCACCCCCCCACCTTAGCCCGAGTTTGCCTGAATGTGAAATGGGCTTGTAAGAGGCCGAAGGAGCACAGGATGGAGGGGCCTTCCACCTGGAGTAGGTAGGCCCTGGCTCCAGCTTGTCCCCTGCCACCCACATTTCAGATGCAGTGGCACCCTGGGGAGGTGACTCCCCAGGATCACAGGACACAGGCATGGGGGGAGTTCTCCGGGCAGCACGACGCCCACCTCCGGTGCCGGCGTGCTGCAGTCAGACCCCCCTCTGAGGGCCGAGGGTGGGTGGGATGGGAGGGGCCGGCGGGCCCTGCTGCCCCTGCCGCACTCAGCATCTGCCCTCGTCTGGCCCGCTGTGGGCTCGGGCGGCTTTCTCCTCCTCTCCGGCCACCTGCCCCTCCTCTGTCAGGTGTGCAAGGTGGCTGCCTGGGGGGCGGGGGCGCCCCCTCTGGCACCTCTGGGAGCTGCGTCCCCTCGGGCCCCGGGTGTTGCACTAAATGGGGCAGTCGGTTGAATGGAGCGATTGCGGAGGCCAGCGTTGGGCCCCATCTGCCCCGGGCCTGCTTGTCCCGGCTGCTGCAGCTGTGTGACCTGGGACGGGGGGCTTCCTGCCGCGGCTGCCTCAGGGTCTGAGCAGGGGGGGCACACCTGCAGTGGAGGGGACACCTGGTCTCCTCGGGGCCGGGGTGCAGCAGCCAGCTGCTCCGGGACAGGCCTTCACCTGCCACGTGCAGGTGTTCTTGCATGTCACAGCCGCTCCAGACGGGGGTCACTTCCTGTTAACCAGGCGCGGGTGAGTTAAGCTGGAAACCTCAGCCGGGGCTGGTGGTGGAAGCCTTGCCTTCCTCGACAATGAAGTCGGGTTTGAGTGCTGACACGCAGGGTTTTCTGCTGGTGGATTTTCCTTCCCATTTTCTGTTTCCTGTTCCTTGCTCACGACTGGGCGGCGGCGGCGGCAGCAGCGTCGGCTCTTCACACTCATCGAGAGTGAGCCATGTGCCGGCCCCCGGCACGGGGCAGGTCTCCCCCCCCGGCCTTCTGAGCACAGCTCTGCTGATGGCAGGCGAGTGACTGTGGACAGTGGGTGGCCCGAGGGGGATCAGAACAAGTCTTCTGTCCCTTTGGTGACAGGAGGGCAGGCAGAGAGCAGGCGGCCTTGGTGTTCGTCAGTCCCGCTGAGGCGGGTGACCGCTGTGGTGCTGCCCCTCGAGGCGCCGGACGGGGAGCCGTCGGGCGAGGAGGCAGGCGGCGGGGGTGGGGGTGCCGGAGGACGGCCCAGCAGCGTTCCCAGGCCGGGGCAGAACCCCGTTCCGGCGCCCCGGCCACGGGGCACGCGCCCTGCTCTGGGAGGGGGTGACGGAGGGCACAGGCGTCTGCGCCTGTTACTCTTCGGGGGCTCACGACAAGGGGAGGGGCAGGTGGGCCCCGGGCGTGTCAGTGCGAGGGTTGGAAGTGGGGGGACAGCACAGGCTGGTGGGACCGGGGAGGGCACCCAGAGGGACGCCTGAGCGGCCTGGAGCCGGGCCCTGGGGCCCGGTGGCGCTCCGTCTCCATCAGTGACGTGGACTCAGACGTGTTAATTATTACCTGAGTGCTTCGCTAAAGCCTCTGCTGTCTCGGCGGCGACAGGGAGCGGGTGGTGGAGGGGAGTTACTGATGGCGGGGCAGGTGACGGGGCGGGGGGGGGGGGTCCCTGGGAGCTTCAGCGAGTGCCGGCTGGGACTGAAGGGCGGCAGGAGGGGACCTGCCACCCAGACCCACAGGATCGCTCTGGGCCGCGAGACAACGGGGAGGAGACGGCCCGGCCCGAGAGCCCCAGCCCAGTGGGTGGCGGCCAGGTCAGGCGGCCGCGGAAGCCCGAGTCCCGGTGTCCTGCAGTGCTGCTGCCCCAGACGTGCCTTCTCTGCCCCTGCCCCCACCGTGGGAAGAGCTATTTTTAGCTCTCCCTCTTGCGGTTAATGGGCTGTTCAGGGCAGTCTCCCTTTGAACGGGCTATTTCAGGAGCAGACGCCAGTCTTCTCATCTGGACGCTTGGCTCCAGTTGCAGGAAAAGCTGACAGGAGCTTCTAAAGCCGCTCAGCGCCTGGTGCTTGGACGGGGGCACTTGTCCAGCCCCCACTAAACCCCGTCCAGCAGGGTCCCCCCCAGGAGCCTGCGTCGTTTCAGGGCCTGGCGGGGCGTGGTGGCAGGGAGATGGGACGACAAGCACGTCAGCACGTGCCATGGGCCACGTCCCGGTGACACGGGGACAGCCGATGCTGGGACTGAGGAGATGGGGACGGTGTTCAGCGAAGGCTTTTCTGTGGCGAGGCGGGGGGGCGGGCACCTCAGCGGCAGCGCTGGGCACCGTGCGGCACCAGGAGGGGCGGGCGCAGGCCCAGGTGTCCAGTGTTACCTTCCAGGCGGGCGTCCTGACCTCAGTGAGCCAGGCTGTGGGGGGGTGCTCTGTTCCCGCCCGTCTCTGTCTCGTCAGAGGTGGGAAGCCTGGGCGTGCCTGCCCCCAGGTTCTGGACGCCACCTCTCCTGGCCAGAGACGGTGCGGCCTGGACCGTGTGCGTCTGGGGTGAGCACCTGCCTACGCAGGGGGCTCGGTGGCGCCCTGCCGGGAACCTCGCCCCAATCTCTCTCCTGGTCTGGGCCCCTTCCTCAGCGTGACCAGCACAGGGGACCCGGAGGCCGTCCCGTGAGCGTCAGACAGCACTGGTCACCCGTGCTCCCTTCCTGGGGCCCCCACACGAGGTGCCGCCGCCTGGGCAGCTGCAACGGCAGCACGACTCCCTCGCTCCCGGGAACCGAGAGTCCGGGGTCCCGGTGTGGGCGAGGCCGGGCTTCCTCTGCTTCCTTCCTCGGCGCTCCGGGTCTGCGGGCCAGGCCCCCGCCGGCTTGTGGGAGCGCGGCCCCGGCCCTGCCTCCCTCCTCGTGCATCTCCTTCCCTCTGTGCGTGTCTGTCTGGATCCCCCTCTTCCAAGGAGGACGCCAGTCAGTGCAGTGGAGCCCACCCTGGAGACGTCATCTTAACTTGATCTCACCTGCAAAGGCCTCATTTCCAGATAAATAGTAGCGTTAAGTCAGCGCTGTACCTGGGGGGGAAGGGGCAGGTGGTGAGCGCTGCGTCTGCTGGTTTGTCCTGAGGGCCGGTGTCCGCCCAGGGGAGGCAGTCAGCGCCCCAGGGTGGGGACGGGGGCACAGCTGCGGCTGGGGTGGAGGGGCGGAGCGGCAGCCCCTGAGAGAAGGGGCCTGGGCTTTGTAATTGGGTTGTTAGAGGGTCATCGTTACACAAACCCTTCTTGACGCAGTAAAGAATGAGTTTGTACTTCTGCACATAAGTAGTCACTCCTGGAGGTCATTTCTCCTCCTCACTTAGATCCTTATTCCTCACGAAGGTCATAAGCATTGTTTAATTTCTTCAAATACCAGTCGATGGCCAGCCGTGTACCTGCCATGGGCCAGGCCTGGGGACTGGGGAAGAGGCCTCGCCTGTGTGGCCCGCGGGAAGCGTTAGAGGCGGAGCTTGAGCTGGCTCTGGGGGGCGGGGGGGGGGCGGTGGGGAGCAGGAAGTGTGCTGGTGGGGGGCGGCGGGGGGTGGTGCTCGGCCAGAGGACGGAGGGCCGGAGGGCCGTCCAGGCAGAGAGACGGGCCTGGGCCTGGGCCCGGGCGGGCGCTCACTGGGACTCACCGAAGCCTGCATCGTCCTGGGGGCCGCAGACTCACGCGGGGGGGCGGCAGCTGCTGGACGGAGGCCGCTCCTCGCGCGGAGAACTTTCCCGACCCTCCTGTCGCCGGGTGGCTAACTGTCCCCTCTCCTACAGGACCACAGCCGCTTCGTCAACTGTGTGCGGTTCTCTCCCGATGGGAACAGGTTTGCCACGGCCAGCGCGGACGGCCAGGTGAGGCCCAGGGGCCGCTCGGGGGGTGCTCGTCGGACTCACTAGAGCCGGTCTTGGGGATCCCCCTCCTTCCCACCGCCTGGAGCGAGGCTTGGTCACCAGGCTTCCCCAAGCCCCAGAACCCGGCTCTCTGTCCCCTGTAAACGGAGCAGAGCTCAGGGTCGGGGAGCGCTCTCTGGGTTGGTCCTGTGTGGGAGCCTCGGCCGGGAGCTCCGACAGCAGTGGCCAGAAAGAAAGAGCAGGTTCAGCACACTCACGGCCCGGAGACTCGCGCGGGGACCCACTCGCCTCCCCCTGTTGGCAGATCTACGTCTACGACGGGAAGACGGGGGAGCAGGTGTGCGCCCTGGGCGGCGGCAAGGCGCACGACGGAGGCATTTACGCTGTGAGTGTGTGGCGTCTCCCGGGCTCGGGGCCCAGCCGCGCCTGCGTTCGCGGTCGTCCCAGCAGATGGGCCACTGGGGGCTTCAGGGTCGGGGGGTGGCACGGAGCTTCAGGGCCACGTCTGGCGGCGGGTGACGTGGCCTGGACGCTCGTCCCGTCCCCGCCCTGGTGGGCCCCACCACCCCCGGCCTCGCTGCTTCCCGCTCGGGGCGGGGGGGGGGGGTGGCCAGGGGCTTGCTGGGGCCCCTCCCCCCTCGGTTCTCCGACGCTCAGAGCCCGTGTTGTCGTCTGAGCAGATCAGCTGGAGCCCGGATAGCACCCACTTGCTCTCTGCTTCCGGAGACAAGACCTCGAAGATCTGGGACGTCAGCACGAACTCGGTCGTCACCACGTTTACCATGGGCTCCAACGTTCTGGACCAGCAGCTGGGCTGCTTGTGGCAGAAGGACCACCTCCTCAGCGTCTCCCTGTCCGGGTACATCAACTACCTGGACAGGAACAACCCCAGCAAGCCCTTGCGGGTCATCAAGGTAGGGTGGCGCTGGCTGGCCCTCCTGTGTGGGGCAGCGGGGAGGAGGGCTGGGCCTGGGCTTTGGGAGAGGGGCAGGACCCGGGTTGCTTTTGGGGATGTGGCTTCAGCCACGTGGGAGGCTAGGGGCCCTTTCCGTCCTCCTGTCCTGGGCGGAGTCCGAGCGGAGCGTGGCCCGAGGGCCGCAGAGGCAGGGCCGCAGTCCTCGGCTCACCCCGCCCCGCCTGCCGCCTCCGCAGGGTCACAGCAAGTCCATCCAGTGCCTGACGGTGCACAGAAACGGTGGCAAGTCCTACATCTACTCCGGGAGCCACGACGGACACATTAATATCCTTTGACTCACAGGGCTGGCGCCCGGCCCCCCGGGGGGGGAGCAGGAGCGCCTCGCTCCCACAGTGCCAGACGCAGAGCAGCCAGCTGGCCTCAGCCCCTCTGAGTGGCCACGGCCTTGACCCGACAGGTCACTTCCCACTTTGTAGCCTCGAGTGGTGCTCTCCTGTGCGTGACTCTCGTGCTGTCCTTGTCTCTCCCAAGCAGTCGTCACCGACTCTCTGGTTCGAAAGCCCGTGGGACCTCCAAGCAGAGCCTCTGGTTTTACGAACGGGAAGACAGGACGAGGCTGCGGAGGTGCCTGTCCTGGCGCCTGCTGGCGGCAGGGTCCGTACCAGAACCCAGCTCGCTCTCTTCCTGGTCGGGGCTTTGCAGTGTCTCAGAGACAGTCCCTGGAGGCTGTGTGCACCCCCAGGCCCTGCCCCCACCCCCATGTCTGTGCCTGGGGCACGTCACCCCACCTCCCAGGACCGTCATGAACACGGAGCAGGGCTGAATCCACAGGTGCCTGCTCCAGCCTGGCTCCCAGCAGGGGCGTCGCTGAGCCGCCCCTGCCGCCGCGCCCTCTGCAGGGGGCTGTCGGGGAGCTCCGCTTCTCACGCCTCCGCGGGCCTTCGTTTTTTTGTTTTCCTTTTTCCTTTAAAAGGTTTTATTTATTTAACTTTAAGCGGGGGGGGGGGCAGGGAGGGAGAAAGAGGGGGAGAGAACATTGTACAAGAGATGCATCCATCTGTTGCCTCTCTTACGCCCCCAACTGGGGACCTGGCCCACAACCCAGGCACGTGCCCGGACCAGGAATCAAGCTGGAAACCCTTTGGTTCACAGGCCCGCACTCAACCCACTGAGCCCCAGCAGGCAGGGCTGACCTCTGTTTGCATGAAACCCACGGAGTCTGCCCGCAGTCCCGAGAGAGGAGGGCATTAAAGTCGCCCTCAGCTCCATTAAATGTAAGGAGAGGCAGGGTAAGGGCGTGGCTGTGTCCTTGCTGGGGGGGTGGGGTGAGGTGTTAGGATCTGCCTCTCCCGGAGAAGGGTGTGAGCCTGTGCAGCCACACAGCCTCCGGCCCACGTCCTCCCCTCCTGGCGCCCCGACACCTCCTCCTCTCAGGGCACCCCCACCCCCAGTGCTGATGCACCGGGGCGTCGACCTCAGGTACGTAAGTAGTGTGAAGCACACCACACGCCCGGGCACCTCACAGCTCACAGGCCCGCCCCACTGAGAGAGAGAGGTCAGCCCGGGCTTTACCTGGGGGCCCTGGGCCCAGCCAGCCTCCTGCCGCGGGTCCAGGCTCGGCAGCAGCCTCTAGGGAGAGCAGGATGCGGCGTCGGCTCAGGCACACAGCAGTGTCTCTCTGGGGCCTCCCTGCGAGGCACCGGTCCTCACTGCCGAGCCCGCAGTAAGGTTGGGTCAGGTTGTGGCCGGTGCACTGCCGACCGCAGAGGCCAGCACGGGCCTGTGACCTGCTCAGCTGGCCTGTGCGCCACTGTCCCCGTGGACTTGCAGTCGGTCAGCTTGCTGGTTTGCCAGGACGCCTCTCTCTGAAATTCAGACGTGGGTGCTCCTGTCCCTCACGTGCTGCCCCGGACGGGCGGCTGGCCCTGGGCCCTTTGAGGTGGGGGGCACCCCTCTGTCCTGGAGTTGGGCTTTTCCTTAACTGGGCCCCACATTACTGGGACTCCGAGACCGGGGAGAACGACTCCTTCACCGGGAAGGGCCACACGAACCAGGTGTCCAGGATGACTGTGGACGAGTCCGGGCAGCTGGTGAGCTGCAGCATGGACGACACGGTGCGCTACACCGACCTGGCGCTGCGGGACTACAGGTGAGCCCCCGGGTTAGTCACCCGTGCCCCCCTGGCTCTGCCCCCCGTCGGTCAGGTGAGGTGCCTGGCGGGTGGCGGGGGCCCGTGAGGGCAGGTGGGCGGGCGCCCAGGATATGGGAGTGAAAGGCAGTCACGCTGGGTCCGCCCTGCACTGCTGGTTGACAGTCGCTGGAGCTGCGGGGGCTGCTGTGACGGTCACTGCAGTTCTCAGGGCAGGGCGGGGAGGTGGGAGAGGGCCGAGCCCCGCTCCTGGGCAGACTCCGCCCACCACCCGCTGGCCCTTCCCCGGTGGCTCTCCATTGAGTCGTGTAGATGCCACTGTCCCCTCAGAGATGGCGGACTCTGGGGGGACGTCTTGTTGGCCCTCACACTGGCACAGCACCCGATTGTAGCAAACACAGGTGCCTCGGGCCTTCCTCTCCTGATGTGCCTGCGTCTGGTCAGGTCGGCCTCAGGGTGAGTGCAGAAGCCTCCCTACAGCCCGGGCGTGCGGGCACAGCCTGCTCAGCTGGTCACGGGCTGGTCACGGGGCCTTTGGGCCCCTCATGTGGGACTGTCTTCGGTGTGTCATTTTCAGGAAGCTCTCAGGTTTTTCTAGGATGCATTCCACGGTATCAGCCGAAAGTAAAGATAACACAATTTTCACTCGCTGAAAGTAATGGGTTATATTTTTAAATGATCTGCTGAGAAGACTGGCTTTGCCCTGGGGTGGGGGCAGCGGAACTCAGATCCGTCTGCACCCGGGAAGTGCCCGGGACTGGCAGGCAGACAGGAGACACAGCGGTGGTGGGTGCGGCGGGCGGCGGGGGCTCGCCGCGTCACATGGCAGCGGCAGGGACTCCTTGGGCTCCTCTCGCCGCCCCTTTCGCGGGCCCAGCCCCCGCCTCGGTGACTTCCTCCCAGTCCCAGTCACTCCCCCTGGGCCCGCCGCCCTTTCCGTGCAGGTTGCAGTGGCATTTTGCCTGAGCAGCCGGGGCAGCTGTGGGCGTGCAGTCAGCGTGCTATGCCCACCGAGCCCGCAGCGGTGGACATAATGCGCTCTCCGTCTCTCCCGCAGCGGACAGGGCGTCGTGAAGCTGGACGTGCAGCCGAAGTGCGTGGCGGTCGGCCCCGGAGGATACGCGGTGGTTGTGTGCATCGGGCAGGTACGGGGCGGCGGCCACACGGCGTCCGGTCTCTTCTGAGTCCCGTGCGGATGCAGCCGGAGCAGACCTCTCTATTGAGCGCCGTTGGCCTTCACACGCATTCCCTCTCGGTCCTCATCAGTCCTGTCCACTCCAGGCACCATCACTCCCTTCTAGACGGGGAGTGGAGGCACAGAGGGGAACAGCTGCTGGCCCAGGGCAGCCCTGGGTTTGAACCCAGGCAGCTGGGCGGATCCCGCACCCCAAGTCAGGCCACACAGGGTGCCCGTCCTTGGAGGCCTGCGAGGGGCCGGCCGGGTGGGTGTGCCCACCTCCCCGTGCTCCTGCCCCAGCCCTCTGGTGGCACAGCCATGTCACTGCAGGCCTCCTCCTCGCCCCGTGAGCTTCCGTTTGCTCCTGTCTGACAGCGTGCGGGGAGCTCCTTGCATCTTTGTGAGCTGCTGTCTCGGAGGAGGAGGCTAAAGCTTAGTGCTCTGGGGGCGTCCCCAGGGCCGCCTGCTGGCGGGGCGCCAGCCCAGACTGGGTCTGCTGCTCAGCCCCACCGCCTGGTTCTCACTCAGTGTGGCTCGGGTCCCTGCGTGGCTCCGGTCTCTGTGTGGCTTCCCGTCCGGAATTTCTGGACTGACGTGCCCACGACAGACCCCAGCCTGACCCACTTCATGCAGGATCCTGCTGTCACAGGCGCCATCTGTCAGCCTGGGGTCCCAGCCTGTGGATCAGAGGGCGGGTGTGACAGAGCCCCGCAGGCAGGAGAAACGAACCCGCTAAAGAAAGCTGCCATGCAGCACCCACAGCCCCTCTCCCGTCCTGTGAACTTAATTGCTTCAGGGAAAATGGATTCCGTGTCCCAGATAACACAGACTTCCTGCCAGGCAGGCCTTGCACGCGGCCTGGGTGGTCAGTGGGGGCTCACAGGAGTCGGTGGCTTGCAGCACCCGAGGGGAGTGGAGGCAGGGACTGGAAGGGGACGTTCTGGGGCAGGTGGGCACTTCCCAGCCTCTCTCTTTCAACACCTGTCCTTTGCGGGGGAGGTATGACCTGTGGGGCTTCGGGGACGTGGCAGGTGCTCTCTGCGCCCCATCTTCTTCTCCATACGATGGGGTGATCCTGCCAACTCCCGGGGACGCCGCTCCGGCACGGTGCAGGGCTCCAGTTCAGTCAACACAGCTGCCGTTGTCGCTTGCTTGTCTTAGGGACTTCATCCTGAGCCTGGATTCATCCTCCCGGGGCCTGGGCCCCGCTGGGCTCTTACCCCCTGGGGGGCTGAGACTTGCGTGAGCTGTCCCTAGAGGACTCGGTGGCTGAGGTGGGATCCAGCCCCATTCTGTCTGTCCCCAGAGCCTGTCGGTACGCCCTCGGCCCTACCTGAGGACTCACCCTGTCCCCCAGAGCAGGGGAACCAGAGCTGGGGGCATGCAGGAGAGGTGTGCGGGGGCCCTGCTGTGAGTGCGGGCCCTGCGCCCGGCCTGCTGCGCTGTCCTGCTGCAGCAGCGCGGAGAGCCCGTGGGCCGGGGGTTCCCGTGCTCTCTGTGAGATGGGCCGGCGGTGCCACCCCGGGCTGTGGCGGCGCACGCCCACCACATCGGGTGCCTCACAGGTGGCAGGTCGGGGTCACGAAGGGCGTGGCCTCGGGTCTGAGAGATCAGGACTGAGAATGCCCGCGCCTCGTGCTCATCCCCGGGCTGGTTCGCAGCCCCGTCACTCCCAAGTGCCTCTGTCCTCGTGCACCTCAGGGAGCTGGTCCAGCAGAGCGCGCTCACTGCAGTAAGGGGAGCGAGAGTTCAGACGACAGTCGGCTTCCCAAGGAGTGGGCGCTCGTGGTGGTGACAGCGACAGTAAGGGGGTGATGACCCCCCCACCCCCCGTGTTCGCTGTGATCTCGTGACTAGGACCTGTCCCTGTCGTGCTGACTGATGAGGGAGGGCACATCACTCAGGGCACGGGGCCCCCGCCCGGCCCCGCTCCTGACAAAGTTGGGAGCAGAGCCCGCCCAGCCCGACCCCGTGGTCTGACCGGCCGCTGCATGTCCCCAGATCGTCCTGCTGAAGAACCAGAAGAAGTGCTCCAGCATCGACAGCCTCAGCTACGAGCCCGAAGTGGTGGCAGTGCACCCCGGCGGGGACATGGTGGCTGTCGGGGGCGCGGTAAGGCTCCCTCCCCACCCTCTGCCTGGGCTGTCTGGCTGCGGGGCTCCCTCGGGTAAACAGGAGGGAGGTGGGACTGGGGCCCTGGGAGCCAGCTAGGGGGCACTTCCTGCCGCCCAAGTGACAGCCTCCGTGGTGACCCTCAGTCCCCGGGGGCGGCCCAGCCCGCAGCAGTGCTCGTCCTGGTTCTCTGCACACGGCACAGGACACCGAGGACAGGGTGTTTGGGGCCTCACCAGGAGACCCTGATGAGGGTCTCTGGAACACGGGCAGCTCAGCCGTCGTAAGGTTGCAGCCGGTCCCTGGTGTGCTCCTGGGCCAGCCTCGGGCGGCTGCAGGGACACCACCACCCACCCTGACACTGCTGTTCCCTTCTCGTGCTGTCCCGTGTGCTCCCCCTCACCACTCGTCCCAGCGAGTATCAGGCCGCCCAGTGCCAGGCCCCAGGGGCATGGAATCGAGGGCTCCCCTCCCCGAAGGGGACGTGCTCCAGGTGCATCCACCCTGGTCAGGCTCCCTGGGCACAGGCGGAACCATCGACATTGGTCCCTTCCAGAGGCCACGGCCAATGGGAGCTGGGCAGAGGTCTGCCACAGGCATCCCTGGCCCAGGTTCCCCGGGGGCTTGGGGACAGCCACGGGGCGGAGTGGCTGCCAAGCCCTTTGAAAGAGCAGGAGTGCCCTCCCCCAGCAGAGGTGCCTGGGGCAGCGCAAGGACAGAGGGGGGTTTCGCCAGAGGCAGCCAGGCGTCCTGGGGGGCGGGGTACAGAGAGCTGGTGGGTGTAGGTGTTTTCCAAAGCCTGGCCCGGGAGCCCCTGCGCCAGAACTTCTGGACTGTTGGTAAGATACGCAGACTCCTGAGCACCCAGTCGGACAGAATCGGAATCGGAGGTACCTAGGGTCCCTCGCTAGCCCACCTCCCTAAGCTGTGTGTGTGTGTGTGTGTGTGCGCGCGTGCGTGCTCACACAGGCCACGGGAGTGGCTCACTGCCCCCGCCCCCCACCCCCCACCCCCCCCACCCCCCACCCCCCCACCCCCCCCACCCCCCCACCCCCCCACCCCCCACCCCCCACCCCTGTGCCCTGCAGGACGGGAACGTCCGCCTGTACTCCATCCTGGGCACCACGCTGAAGGACGAGGGCAAGCTCCTGGAGGCCAAGGGCCCCGTGACCGACCTGGCGTACTCCCACGATGGCGCCTTCCTCGCCGTGTGTGACGCCAGCAAGGTGGTCACGGTCTTCGGCGTGGCTGACGGCTACTCGGTGAGTGGGCCGTCCGTCCCTGTGCGTCCCCGGTGCGGGCTGTGCAGGTGGCAAGTGGAGGCTGTGGCTCTTCCCTCCTGTCGTCACCACCAGGTGGAAGCACCAGACCGCGTGACTCCCTTGCTCGTAGAGCGTGAGTGACGTGGAACACGGCCCTGCTGCCCAGGAGCCGGAGGTCTTGTCGGAGAGCTGGGTCACGGTCGCCAGGAAGCCGGGGAGCTGGCGACAGTGGCCATGAGGAGCTGAGGCAGCAGAGGGGTTCAGCCGGGTGGCCCGGCCCTCTGGGACCTGCTTCTCTCTGGGCAGAGGGCTCTGTTTCCCGTCCTGGACGGAGGATGTGGGTCGTCCAGCACTGCCTTGCGCCTGGGGCATGCTGCTGCGAGGGGGCCCGGGGAGGCAGGGCCCGGGGGCCCGGAGGCACCTGGGAGCTCACTCTGCTCCAAGCAGAGCCGGCGCGGGAAACAGCGGTGCACGCGTGAGGGCGGGGACTGCGCCCCGGCAGCGTCCGCCCTGTCGCACAGAAGAGGGAGTGTGCTTGGGGGGTTCAGCCCTGAGGCGGGGGAGGGACAGGCACAGGCAGCACAAGACCGGGAGGGGCTCTAGCCCTGGGGCTCCCCGCCCCCAGTAGTTGTGACAGGTGTGGAACCTGCAGCGGAGGGGAAGGGATGCCTTGTCTAGGCGCTCCCATTAGGGAGCACCCATTAGGGGTGCCGCATCGCCTCATCCAGTAACCTGGGTGCTGGTGCGTCCGCAGTAGGTTCCAGACTGTCCGTGTGTTTCCTGTAAACACTCCCCAGAGCCTGCAGCCGGTGGGCCGGAGCTCAGTAGCTGCCTCTGGCTGTAGGATTTGTGCTGGGTTCAGGCGCCAGGAACGCAGGGGCGCATTTGTGCGCGTCTGCCTGCAGCCCGGACCTCCTGGCCCCGCGAGGGTCGTGTTTAAGTGGTTCTGTTCGCCTGTGACAAACCATGTTTGAACGTGCTGAGCCGTCTTTGAGTGTAGAACGCACCAGGGCTGGAACAGGCAGACCGGAGAAAGACAGCCGTGGCCAAGCTGACCTTTCCTGGGGCTGAAGAATGAGAAACCCCCGAGAGGGCTTTGAGGCTGGGGTGCACTCTGCACGTGGCCGCGGGCAGAGCCCAGGGCTGGGCCCAGGCCGCCCAGTCCCCTGTGCAAGGAGGACAGGAGCGACTTCCTCGCACTTCCCCATCTCCACACTTCGGTGGGCAGCATTTCCGTCTGTCCCCTCGCGGGGCTGAGAGCTCTGAGGGTGGCCAGCATGGCCGGCACTGTCCAGGGGGCCCTGGGGGGCGGGGGTGAGTCATTGATGCCAGGCCACACCTTCCAGGAGCAGGGGTCTCGTGGGTGTTTACAGGGAAGCTGGGAGATGTTGCCTGGCGCGCACTGTCAGCCAGGGGGCCGGGGAGAGGGCGTGTCCCCCTGGGCGGGGCCTGACCTGCCGCCTCTGCTGTCGCCCGCGCCCAGGAGACCAACGTGTTTTACGGGCACCACGCCAAGATCGTCTGCCTGGCCTGGTCCCCGGACAACGAGCACTTCGCCTCCGGCGGCATGGACATGATGGTGTACGTCTGGACCCTGAGCGACCCCGAGACCAGGGTCAAGATCCAAGGTGACTCTCTTACCTGTCTTGGCTCCCAGGCAGCCTGCCCGGGGCACCTCTGGTGGCCTCCCTGTCCTTCGGGGAGGCCATCCAGGGAGGACGCGTCTCTGTCACACCCCGGGCTCTGCGGCCCCGTGCCGGGCCTCCCGGGGACCGAGAGGTCCCAGCGTGAGAGCAGGTGGTCCCCGCACACGGGACGTGTGCTGGGTCGAGGGGCCGCTCCTGGCGTCTCTGGCTCAGTCCATCCTGCCCACTGCGACAGAACCCCACGCACGGGGTGGCTTACACGTGACAGGAGTTAGCTGCCCGCAGTCCCGGGGGCTGGAGGGCGTCAGGGTCGGGGTGCCGGCGTGGCCGGTGAGTGATGCGGACACCGACCAGCAGCATCCGCGGTGTCGTGGCTGCGACGAGCAAACTCACCAGCTCCTGCAGAGGTCCTGTGGGGACAGAGGGGCGGCACGGCCGCTCCGAGTGAGACAGGGCCCCGACCCCCGCCTGGACGGGCTTTTACTGCTTTCCGGGCACATCACCTGCAGGATGGTCCTCCTGTGCTGTGCACAGGTTCCCAACAGGTGGTCGTCTTTTACAGATGGCAAGGAAAAGGATGTCTCTTTGAAGTGGAAGGCAAGGATGTTGCAAATTCTAAGGGCAAAGCAGTCAAGCTGGTTATACTCCATCCTTGGGAGGATTAGCACAGAATTTAAGAAGTTACTTTAAAGATATGCAATAAATGTTTGCTGCTTCGATTCAGGGTGAGGGAGTTTCAGCAAAAGCAAGCCTCACAGCAGCCCAGGTACAGAGCAGGCCTGGCGCCCCGGGGGAGAGCCCATCGGAGGGCCCGGCTCCTGTGTGCCGCCCCGCTCCCACCGGCTTTCCGAGTCGGGGCCTGGGCTGCATTCGCCACGGCCACGTGGGTCGGTTCCCTGTGCACCAGGGCCTCCTCCGCATCGCAGACTTCTCGCGTGCGTGTTCCCACGGCGTCGGGCTCGGTGGGACCTCTTTCACCGGAGCACTGTTCCTGTCCGTAACCCGAACTCCTCGCAGCACCGCCTTGTGCCAGACTGGGGTGTTCAGCCCGCTTTGGGGGAACAGGAACACTCACCGGAATGCTTGCACTCCGGCCCCCGGAGGGGCCGCCTCGCTTCCCCCGCCCTCCAGTCTCGCGTGTCAGCTGCAGCAGCGTCCAGGGGACGCCGCCTGTGAGCCACACATGCGCTCGGTGTTTTCTGGCGGCCACGTTCCAAAACGCCGGTTTCGTTTAGCCCAGCATTATTTCCTCGAGGCGGCAGTAGCTCATGCCCCGGGCTGTGTTGACCCCCGTGGCTTCTGCCCTGGGCGGGACCATCCTGTGGAGGACAGGGCCCCGCGTGCCGCGTGGCCAGTGGCAGCCTAGGGCACGCCGACCTCCCCCTCTCATGCCCGGGTGTGGTCCTTCTGGGGAGAGGGGACGGGGCTGCTTAGCAGCAGTTGTGTTTGGCACCTCGGGGCCGGCTGGTTTCGGCACGGGCTGCTCCGTTGCCCTTGTCCGGGGTGGGGGGAGGGGCGGAAAAGCTGGGCTTCCCTAGAGAGTGTGTCCTTCCTCCGCAGATGCACACCGGCTGCACCACGTCAGCAGCCTGGCCTGGCTGGACGAGCACACGCTGGTCACCACCTCGCACGACGCCTCTGTCAAAGAGTGGACAATCTCCTACTGAGGACCCGCCTCCGGACGGACCGAATCAGGGACTAGAGTTTCACCGCAGCAGAACACAGCGATCCTCTAAATACTTCTGTAACGCCCCCGCGCCCCCGCCCCGCTCTCGAGGGAGGGGCCCTGACTCCCGGCGACCCTCGTCTCTGCAGGGCATCCGTGTCTATCCGTGTCCTTCTGAAAGCTTTAGACAGTGACAGTTTGCACATGAAAAATAAAGTGAGCACTTAAACAGTGTGTGGAGCATAACTCAAACCCACCCCCAGCGCAGCCCGAGTGCGGAACATTCCAGAGGCAGAGCCTCAAAAGCACACAGACCGCTCCCGTGGCTCCTGCCGTCTGCCAAGGGAGGCTGTGTCCCAGGCCCACCTGCCGGCGGCGGCCACGGCGCAGGGATGGGAGGGCGCACCGCAGCTCCGTGAGGCCCGGCTCCGTGCGGCCCGAATCACGTGGTCCCGGAGTGCGGGCCACGCCCTGCGGTCACCTCCAGGGAGCCTCAGAGCGGCCGGGCACACACATGACCTTGTATTTCACTGTCCGTTTTTGTGCTTGATTTTAAGAATGGAACCGTGAAGGTTTTTTTTTTCTTTTTAATGTGTCTTAACTGTTGCTCATCCTTGTTTACAAGCCTAGTGGGTTGTGGGTGCTGTCTCCAGGGCGTTTGACCCCTGTTAGCCAGACCGAGGTGTCCTGTCCCCATTTTACCGTCACCCTTTGGTGTTTTTCTGTCTTACCCCTCCTGTCCCCAAGATCAAAGTTAATTTAAAGGTAAAGAAGCCACTGTAATCTGTTACCATTTTCACCTCTTCTTTTCCAGTACAGAAATTAAAAGTAAGTATAAAGCACGGTGATCTGGAGTTTTCTTGCGTGTGTCGGAATCACTGGTCAGGTCGATGTCGGCTAAAAGCAATCCCCCCTGCACTTGTGAAAACACTTTGAGCGCTTTACAAGATCAGACCGAGAGACGATTAAAGATCTTTTCTGTCTACTGTGGATGGCTGAGTTTGTGTGGTGGGGCACCTGGGAGCTGGGGGCGCGTGGTCAGAGGAGACGGGCTAGGCACTGGGGTGGCTTGGTCTGCCTTTCCGTGGGGGAGGGGCCCTTGTTGCCATGCCAGCCACCAAGTCCCCGCGTCACCTGCTGGGCCACCCCAGCTCAGCCTTTGTAATCTCTCCCTTTACAACCTGAAGACATTGGACCCTCATTCCATCAGTCCACCGAGATTGGCTTGTCGGCACAGCGGAGCCCTTCCCGACTGACTCACGTGGGCGTAGAAAGGGTGGGCAGAGTGCACCGATGTCCACCTGCATGGGGTGGGGATGGTGATGGCGCGCCTCCTCGAACTGTGCGGGGAGTGCGGGAGACATTCAGGGTAAACCCTGAGACAGGCTGGCCCGCAGTGAATGGAGTAAGCCATTGTCCCATTTACCTTAGTACATTATAGACACAGAATGTTACAGGTGTAAAAGGCAATTAGCTATACGTGCATGTGGTAGCTACCACTGTGGTGGGCACAGTTACTGCCCAACTAACAGTGATATACAGCAAATAGTGCCCCGTGTCCCAGCAGCAGCCGGGGGAGACCGGAGCAGGGAAACCAGGGTGGGCCTCCTGGAGCAGGCGGCCCTCCAGGTGGGGGAGGCAAACAGGACTCCAGTTGTGCCATCCTGGAACATACCCAAGGCCAGGTCCACCGTCACCCAGGGTTCTTGTAGGGATGCCTTCCTTCTGTGGAGGTGAACAGTTGCAACCCAACATTCTTTGATACAAAAACCTGTTTTTTTCCATAAAGTCCTAGACTTCTGGGAGTGCGGTTTTCTGACTGACCCCTCTGGCCGCCACTCCTCACACCAGGCTCTCGGACACCTCAGCCCCAGCAGCAACGGGCAGGACGACCCTCTGCTGTGGCAGCTGGCTGCCCCTTGCACTAGGTCGGGCAGTGCCCTGTCCTCCACACACTTCGGTGCCCCAGGGGTGACCGCCGGAAGTCTCTCCAGACACTGGCAGTCCAGGCCAGGGGCCCCTTCTATTCGGACAGGGCTGTGGTGGGGTGTGCTGGGTGCCGGAAGAGGTTTGCAACTTAGATCCTTCCGGCTTCGTGCTCTTCAAAGGAATAAAGATGAGTTACCTGCCTTTCTCATTTCATTCAACAAAGCCCACTCAAATCCTTTATTCGCTCGTATTCATCGATTCTCTACTATGAACCCAACACCCCAGTCCCCAGCTTGGGGGACTCGGGGGGCGTGCCACCCTTGGAGAGGAGACAGGCGGGACTGGTTTCCTGGCTGGGGAAGCACCTAATTCGGAATTCCATCCGTCCAGCACAGTCGGGCTGTGCAGAGCAGGCTCGGGAACCTGAAGGACAAGCCTCGGGGGGGCGGGGATGGGGGAGCGGGGGGCAATGACAGCCCACCTTTCAGGGTTCGAGAGCTCCCGGAGGTAACTCTGAGTCCCTCCACGTGGAAGGCCTCCTCTCACTTCCCTGGGCCTTGCTTCGGGCCGGTTGCCGAGGCACCGGTTGTGCTTGCTCACCTGAGAGCAGCAGAGAGCAGCTGGCAGCCAGGCTGGGCGGTGAGGCTGGGTGGAAGGCGGGCCAGCCGGCGGGCCGGACGCGCTGGAAGCTGGAAGGGTGCCTGGCTGCTAGCAGGGTGCACACCAGGGCACACACCAGGGCGGCAGAGTTGAGCAGGGCAAGTGCCTGGGGGATGCTGGGGCATTGGCAGTGTGGGCCGTGGCATGTTAGTTATCTATTGGGCAGGTACACCATGACCAAAAACCTAGCAGCTTAAAAAAGTGCATGGCGACTGTCTCCTGGTTTCTGTGGCTCAGGAGTCTGGGCCGCTTGGCTGTGTCCTGTGCGCGGTGACCGTCAAGGCTAGAGGCTCCTCGAGGCTCAGCCGGGGCAGGCTCTGCCTCCATCGGGGTTGCAGGCAGCCCGCAGCCCGCAGCATGGAGGGCCCTGGGCCGGCCGGCTGTGGACCAGACGCAGGGCCCTCTCCCCCGGGAGCTCCCAGCTTGGCGTGTTGCAGGCGGTCCGCTCTTACCTGCGGTCGCTGAGCACACGCAGTCATGGGTAGCCCTCAGCTTTGCCGTGTTCTCTGTGTCTAGAAGCAGGTGACAGGTTCTGCCCACACGGCACAGGAAAGCCAGGTCCCGGGGCCTCCTGAACAGCTTGCCGAGGTAGTCACATGGTGCTTATTCAATTACTTGTTAGATTGTGTGTGTGTGTGTGTGTGTGTGTGTGTACGTACGTACATATAAAGATCAGGTCATATATAAATTATAGATACATAATATGTAAATAGACTTGTAAAATATGATAGCCACATAAATATATAATATTGTACAATATATAGCTGTAATATTACACAATAAATGTGTAAATATTTTTACAGAATAGAATAGTCATAAGCTACATAATACAAATATGTATGTATATTATACAGGGTCCAACCTTTTTTATTACAAAGTCTTTTATTACAAAATCATAAGCATGTAACTGTAACATAACAATATCACACAAGCATGCCCTATGACACTTTAGGTGACATGTTCAAATTCAAACTATAAATCATGACACCCATACTATTACCCTACCCGCCACACTCAAGGAGGCGTTACTTCTGCCGGACGCTGTATCTATGTATTTTATAGATATTCAAAAACCTATGGTATGTTTCACAATTAAACAATTTCTAAACCATGAAGCCTTTTTGGGGGGGGGGCGGGGGAAGGGGGTAAATTAGCTTGACAACGAATGCTCCCAGGTGCGGCCGAGCAGAAAGGCTCCCGCTGCCCTAGGCGGCAGCAGCATCCGAAACGAGCGCCGCGCCGGACTCGGGAGCTGGGGAGCCCCGGCTGACTCCTCCCGTCGCAGGTATTGGAAGTGATTTGGAAGTCACTCCACGCATTACACGCTGAACTTTTTTGAAAGTGCCTGGAAATTACTTCAATGCCTGATTTTGATTTGAAAAACAGAAGGAAACATTTAAACCTATAACCGCTTTGCAAAGAAGGGGCATTTTTGCAGCGCCCGGCACATGCGCAGTGCGCCCCTGCGGTGGTCACGTGCTCCGCCCCTCAGCAACGCTTGCGGGTCGCCGCCCGCGCGCTGTGCCTCCCGCGCCCCCTGCGGTCCCAGGAGTTTCACGCACTTCTGCCCGCTGTGACCGGCTCTCCATTGTTAAACACGACTGCCACTGCCGGGCTATTCTCCAGGCACGTGACTGAGTTTTGGACACGCACCAAGTCTTCACTAAACTCCCATACTAACTCGTAACCTTGTATTTTCATTGCCTGAGGGTCTCCAGGTGCGCAACGGTAACATCTGGACACTATGGCATTCGGGGCTTCCTCCTTCCCCGCGGCCATGACAACTCTGACTTTGTCTCCTGGAAGCCAGGCACTGAAAAGGCTGTGACCTCCCACGGCGTCTGGCAAACCTCAGGCTGTCAGCATCTGCCTGGGGCAAGTCTCTTAACCCACCTGGGCCTCCGCTTTTTTGTTGAGAGCCGGGGACTGGCGCAGGCTCCTCCTCACCAGGTCATCGCGGAGAGGAAACGACGCCAGCTTGTAGCACCGCGTCCGTCAGTCGGTCTCACGGCTCAGCGAGCGGGAGGAGACGCAGAGTTGTTCTTAGCGTTTGGCGGGAACCAGAAACGACAGGCCGGGGCACCAGGTGGTTCCTTCCATGTGGGCGGTGGGAACAGGCCCGTGTTGACATGTGACATGTGTTGTGTCACCTCCCTCCTGTGCTGGGAGCTTTTCCAGGGTTTTCTTTTCACGGCTCCCCCCCTCCCCCCACCCCAGCCTGAGGGAGGGGCAGAGGCGGTCCCAACACCCCAACACTCAGGGGAAGAGAAGCAGGGCTCCAGCCCAGTCCGCCCCGCTGGGAGGCCTGGGCTCATCGCGCTGGTCCGTCCTGGGGCCGGACCAGACGTTCCTTCAGCCTGCAGGCTCTCAACCCAGCTGCAGGGGGGGACTCCCCGAGGGTCTCCGACAGTGCACCAGTGCCTGAGCCCAGCTCACACCAGATGGCTCTGCCTCTCCCAGGGCGGCTGTGACACACGTATCTCTTCAAGGTCATTGTTATGACCAGGGCTGAGAGCCACTGCGGGCGGCAGGGTGGCATCTGTAGCGTGGACATCTCAGACAGCAACCACAGAAGCCTGGCCTCACCTCCTACTCTGTCATACCTTCATTACCACTGCCTGTGGTGATTCACGGTATGTGTCAGCCTGGCTGGGCACGGTGCCTAGGTATTTGCTCCAACATTGTTCTGGGTGTTTTGGTGAAGGTGTTTTGTGGACGAGATCAACATTTAAATCTGTGCGCTTGGAGTAAAGCAGATTACCTCTCACAGTGTGGGTGGGCCTCGTCTAATCAGTTGACGGCCTGAACAGGAAAAACAACTAACTTCCCCCCGATCAAGAAGGCGTCCCTCGGCAGACAGCCTCTGGACTCGCCCTGCACCTCTGCCCTGGGTCTCAGGCCTGCGGCCCTGCCCTGCAGATCTTGGGACTTGCATCTCCACGAATCACGTGGGCCAATTCCCTAAAATAAATCTCTTTTTTACACACACACACACGCATCCTATTAGTTCCGTTTTTCTGGAGAGCCCCGACTCATGCCATGCCATGGTCAAAACCGGCCCCTGGTTGGACGCAGCTGCGTGTAAAGCATCCGACTCTCGTTCTTCTGTGGACAGCCAGGACTGCAGAGTGGGTGGCCCGGGGCACAGGACTCGCAGGCCAGGGGAGGCCAGTCCAGGTCTCCTGGTCTAAGCAGCCGCAGCAGAGGCACAGGGATGGAGGTATGGCCGCCCTGCGAAGTTAGAGCACAGCCAGGGACGGGGCTCCGTGGGGTGAGGACAGTGGCCCCCACCCGGGCTGGTGTGTCCCACTGGGGGACACTTGGCAATTCTGGAGACATTTTTGGTTGCTGTGATGGGGTGAGGGAGGGGTGGTGGGCTCGCCGCTGGCACCCAGCAGGTACAGCCCGGGATGCTGCAGCCGGCCCCCAGTGCACAGGACGGACAGCGCCCTGCGACAGGAGCAGCCGGCCAGAAACGTAACACGGCCGAGGCAGACAGACCCTGGGTCTGCGTGGAGAAACACTTAGTCATTCAGGAAATGAAGGTCTCAGCCCTTGGCGGGAGGAGGGTTGCGCGGCAATCAGGAAGTCAGATCAGGAAGTTGCCTAATCGGGCAACAGGGAATACGCTTGAAGGACTGGAAAAACAGGCTGGGGGAAACGTGGCCGGGACCAAAAAGGCCGGGAGCTTCGAGGAACCTTAAGAAGCCAGCCAGACAGCCCTGGAGGTAGGACCAGGAGCCCAACCCTCACGCCCGCGTGTGCAGCTTGGACTACGCTCCTCGCCCGGGGAGCCCCGGTTCCGAGTCTTAGCGCGAGACCAGAGGCGGTGAGTGGCTGTCCCGCGTTGTGTGGCTTGCGGCTGCTGTTTTTACTTTCGGGAGCAAGCGGATCAAGTCAGCGGGGGAGCTGGGGGGGCAGAGGTCTGGACTGCCCTCTGACTCGGTGATCTTTGGTACCTCCGTGGGAAGGTGGGCGTGGGGATCGGTCCCACTGAAGGTGGGTGTGTGGGCGTGGGGCACGCTCCGGGGCAGTCTTTCTGGGCACAGGAGCCGGACACACCCTCCTTCAGGCGGTGGGGGGAGAGGGGACAGGGCACAGGGCACAGGGGACATGTGTCAGAGCACTCCTGCCGCGCTGCAGGGCTGCTGATGGCCTCAAGTCACGCTCTGTCCCCACGCTCTGTCCCCACGCTCTGTCCCCACGCTCTGTGTAAGCGTTCCTCAGCGTCCCTTCCCTGCCGGTCCAGGGAGGCTGGCGCTGGCTGTCTCCCCGTTTTACAGCTGAGCAAACGGAAGCTTGTGAGGTTAAGTGCCTTGGTCAAGGGCATGCCGCTTAGAAGCGGCAAGACCGGGAGTCCAACACCCCTCCCCGCCGGGCCCCTCCGGCAGTGTGTGTGTGTCCACAAGACCCTCCCCTTCTTGATGAGAAACAAGAGGGGGCAGTGCGGGAAGTCCTTTTCCCGTCACTACGGACGGTCCTTCCCTCTCGTGTTTCTTCCTTCTTCCTTTCCCGAGAAGAGTCGCAGAAAGATCGGCTTTCTGCTGCAGAAACAGAGGCCCGCAGGTGTGGGGGTGAGGGCGCAGCTTGACCTTCTGGTTTTCTGGCTGTTAGTGAAGAATCTTAGCTAAGCCCCCACGGGGCTGCTGGCGACCGACATTCTTACAGGAAAAGTGACCCCTGACAATCGTTGAGCCCAGGGGCCAGGCGTTGGAAGGGTTTTCTGTGGGGGCCTTAGTTCGTCCTCAGGGCGACCCTGTGAAGCAGGTGGGATGTGTGTGGCTTCCCGGGAAGAAAGAGGAAACCAGAGAGGCGGAGTAGCCCGCCCAAGGTCAGCGGCTGGGGCAGGAGCCCGGCCGGGCAGGTGTGGGCTCCGTGTGTCCAGCCGCCAGGTCCGGGAGGCCGAGCGGCGAGGCTGCCCGCTCAGCTGAGCCCCTGCTCCGCTCCCTGCGACCCACGTTCTGGACGCTCCGTGGAACTGCTCTTGGCTTCCGCGCTCTCATTGTGAAATGGGGATGGAAGCTGGGTTCCCCCCACCCAGGGCGGTTTGAGGGGTGACATCTGTAAAGTAATCAATAATGTATCGCCATCAACGTTTCGTAATCGCTGAATTGCGCCTCTGCTCCCTTTAGGGACCCAGCTAGTACCCCTGAATGAGGCTGGGACGCTGGGTGCGGCGCACGGCCCTGTGGGATGGCCCTGTGGGGGGAGGGGGGAGGTTGGCTGGGGATCGGTGCGGGGAGTGACGTGTTAGGGGGGCGGTGGGGGCGAAGGGTGTGGGGGCTGCATTTCAAGAGGAAAGAAGAGGGTGTGGACTAAGACCCTGGGCCCCAGCTGACTGATCAGGGGCCTGGAAAAACCAGCCAGGGGGTTCCCAGCCTCCCCCTGGACTGACCCCCCTCCCCCGGCACCCCCAGCCCACAGGCACCATCGTCAGGCGAACTCTCTGTCTTCTGTTTAGAGGTGAGAATCTCCTCATCCTGCCACCTTACACCCTCTCTAGCGTTTTCCATAATTGCACCTAAACCTCCACTCGAGTGCACGGGCGTTCCATGTCTGATTCGCCCGCCCCCTGGCACCCTGCCGCTTCCGAGTCCCCCGGGGAGCAGCGGCCGGCACAGACCGCGCAGGGAGGCCTCCACCCTGCTTTGGAGGACACAGGGCAACTCTGGGCTCTCTGGCTGGTCAGGAAATGTGAAGCCAATTAGATGGGAGCCGTCAGCAATGCAGCCCGCGTTCACACTGTGCACAGCCCTCCTGCAATTAGGTGTGGCCAGGAACGCAAGGTGGGGCGGCGGCCATTCCCCACAAACGGCGGATGGCCAGGTAGCTATGAAGCTGACTAAAGCTTAGCTTCTCTGATGGTCGTGAAGCTTTGTTCCCTTTTCCCAATCTGAGCGGAAACCAGGAGTCTGTGACAGGGACGAGCACGGGAGCACCGGGCAGCCTGCAGAGGGCTGGGCTCGCCCCGGCAAACGTCCCTGACCCCCGCCACCAGCCCTCCGGAAATCCTCTTCTGACCAGACGTTACCGACTGGTGTGCACGTGGAGTCCCGTCACCCCGCAGTGCTGCCACCGGAGGGGGGCCTGCCTCTTGTCTGCGCCTGCATGGGGCACAGCAGCTGGACTTGAATTCCATCCAAGCAGCTTGCTAATAATGCTAGAGGACTCAGCCTTTGGGAGCCTCTAAGCCTCAGTGTGCCAATCTGTAAAACAGGCCTGATCGTGAATGACCTCCCGCTTGGGGTTGCTGTGGCGGGTCACAGGGCACAAGGCACATGTGACGTGGCCCGAGAGGGTCTAGTGCGTGTGACAGACTCAATGAGAGAGAGTCTGTTTCTTTCTCGATGTGGGCCCGAGAGCCCGGAGGGGTCTCCCCGGCCAGTCCGCGGTGTTTCAGAGCATGGGACCCGGGACGCTTTCTGGTTGTTTGTTTGTGGATGAGCGTGGTGGTTGTAGTTTTTCTGCCCACATTCTCACGTCTGTTTGATTCCCTGCACGTCGTTGCTTAAAATCGTCCACAGACCTTTAACACTGCTCCAGCCCAGAGAGGGGCCTGGCTTTGGGCGCATTCGTCAACAGCCAGGCGGAGCTCCGCTGGCTTCAGGCAAAGCGAGGTAAAAACTATAAATACCTCTAAGTTACTTATAGAAGTGACGTGTCGCGGGTGGCGAGCTGAGGCTGAAGTGTGGGGGCACTGGTACGCCCGACGGTTTGTCTGAAGGCTGCGGGTCGGCAGGGGCAGGGGCGGTGGGCTTGGCGTGTGCCCCGCTCAGATGCCCCATCCCACCGGAATCCCCAGGGGTGGCCCCGGGAAGTGCCAGTTCTCATCAGCCACCTTGGCCCTGGCCTTGTGGGGGCGGTAATGAGCCACTCATTTCCAAAGGTCAAGACCAAAGGTCAAGACTCGGAGGATGCCGGCCAGCCAGCCGGTGCCAGGCAGTGGCACGTTGACACCCGGGAGGTGCTGGGCCAGGGGCCACCCAAGGCAGCTCGCGGCACAGAGCTGCCGTGCTGGGCGCACCGGGGCTCTTTGGGAAGCTCTGTGCCCGATGCAGAGCTTGAGGCTCCTCGGAGCGTGGCCAGCCTGGTTCCCCGGGACAGGAAGGAGTCCGAGAGGCCGGACAAACGCCCAGTCCTGTGACGTGGTCTGAGGGTGCGTTTGGCAGAAGTGGCAGCTTCGTGCTCAGGCGGATTGCAAGGCGGTGAGTAACTCCCACATCTGGAGCCTCTGGTATCTGACGCCCAGAAGGCGCTGCGGAGGCCGTCTGAACACCCCACACCTGCACATTCCCCGCGGTGCCCACAGCCTGGTCACAGCAGGTGCTCGGCGACCGCAGCGAGCTTGCGGGGGAGGAAAACCTCTGTCCCCCTGAGGGACACCCCTGGGCAAAGTCTATGTGTAAAAGCAGCAGGATGACGGTCCGGCAGCTGGCAAGCCACTCACCCTCCGAGGCTCGATGTATCCATCTCGCAAACAGATTCTTTCAGGGCGATTCAGGGGGAAGAATGCTGGAGTTTTATGTGAGGGTCTAAAAGTGGCAAGTGGCTGCTTGTTATTGGACACACTTGATCCATGGAGATTCCCATCTTTGCTGCAGAACCGGACTCCAGCGTAGTAGCTGCGGAACCCCGCCAACTCATTGCAGTGGTTCTCCCCAACGCCTTTCCGGTCAGTGGCCCTTGTGATTCAGTCCATCCAGTGTATCCTGTGGTCTTCCGTGGCTGGCAGGAGAGGCGGCTGAAGCCAGGAATAGGGGTCAGGGGCGTTCAGGTGGTTGGTGATGAGGGCTGTGAAGGAATTCACACAGAGAAGTAAGTGTACAGAATAAAGATTTTATTCCCTCTCCAAGAAAGGAGAGGGGCATGGTGTGGAGGGATACGCCAGCATTGGGGTTGAGGGGGTGGCTTGAGTTTTAATTGGGTTATCATTGGAATCAAAAGGCGGGGGTTGCGGTTGTGTGGCCCCCCGGGCTGTCGGAGTGTTCTCCCAGGAGGTTGCAGTCTGTTCCGATGTTATCTTCCGCCCGTGGGTGTGGGGAGTGTTCTGTTGTGTTTTGCTTTCCAGTGATTTCCAGCCCTGGGGGCAGAAGCTCAGAAGAGTAGGGTGGCTGTCGTGTTGAACAAGGTCACAGGCCTGCTCAGCCAATGGTGCCACACTAGCAACCGGGGCTGGCGTTATCCTTCCAAGGGGTGACCTCTGCTCCCTCTGGCATCTCTTCCCAGGGTCCCACCCAGCAGACGCCCCTTGGCTGGGCTGCTGGTGGCTTTGACCTTTCCCAGCCACCCAGCCTTGGAGGTGGTTCTGGCCAAGGCTGTCTCACAGGTTGTTGCTGAAACCGGATGAGATCGTGTGACCTCAGAAGTAACACCATGAACAATGTTTTCAAATGGAAGATGGCCGTGTAGTTACTTAAGTACTGATTGACAGACAGATGGACAGACTGACTGATGGACTGGCTTTGGAAGCCGCAGGTGGGGAGAGCCTCACTGTCATGGGAGAAGTGGGAGGAAGCCTGGGCGGAGAACCAGGACACCTGGCTCAGAGGTGACTCAGAGTGTGACCTCGAGTTACCTCTCCACCCTCCGGTCTTCCCCTCGCGAGTGTGAAGTGCGGCCCGGTCTGCCCCACAGCATCCCCCGGGACGGTTATTTCTGGTAATGAATGTGAAAGGGTCTTGTAAGTGGTAAAGCTCGGCACAAAATGTCATTGGTTCCCAGTATCACGTAACTGGCATCGCTTATCGGTTTCCCACAACAGCCTGTGAGGCGGGCTTGGGGAGTAACTTCTCCCAGCCCCGAAGGCGCAGAACGTGCGCCCACACAGCGCCGGCTCCGGCTCTGCCCGCAGGCTCCTCTCTGAGCCCCGCCGCTGCACCCCGTAAAGATCACCCCGAGTGTGGGAAGTTCCCGGGGGCAGCCAGGAGCCAGGCACGACGGAGACCCTCAGAGGTGCACGCCGCCTGTACCCCAAGTGTCTGCCACACTCGTCCCCTCCTCCACACTGTGGTTTCTTCGTCATGACTTATTTCTTCCCTTTCTGTTTTAAAATTATTTACGTATGTTTTAGAAAGAAGGGAAGGGAGGGAGAAAGAGAGGGAGAGAAACATCAACGTCAGGGAGGAACAAACATCAGTTGGCTGCCTCTCGTGGGCACTGTGACCGGGAACCGAACCCGCAACCCAGGCATGCACTCTGACTGGGAATCGAACTGGAGAACTTTCCATTTGTGGGATGACACCCAGCCCACTGAGCCACGCCGGTCAGGGCGATTTCTTCCAGTATGAGTCCTGTTTTACTGGTGTCCCTCAAACCTTCCCAGAATTAGGGGGGCCGCAACAGTTCAACACGGGGTGAGGCAAAGCAGGTGTGCCGTTGTTTGTATGGGAAATACTACAGCAGCGAGTAAATAATAACACAGCAACACACTGTGTTTTGTGTGCTCTCAAGGGCAAACCTACTTTTGCCCACCCTGTGTGTCCGTGGGAGCGACACGCAAGCCGGGGATGGGGCTGCAGGTCCGAGCCCTAGTCTTTTTTGGAAGACTGTGTCTTCCCAGAAAGCCATGTGGCATCCCCGTGCCCGCTGTCTCCGGAGGTGAGCCGACGTGGAAATCGGGTCACCGCAGGTGCAGTCAGTGCAGATACAGTCACACTGGAGGGGATGTGCCCTGGGACACCAGGGCCACATGAGGGTCAGAGCCCCCAGCCAAGGAGTGCCCGCCCGCTCCCGGAAGCCAGGACAAGGGCAGGGACCAGACCGGCGCCTGCAGCCCTGGAGAGAGCGTGGCCCTGCCTGGGACGTTCAGCCTCAAGAGCTGTGAGAAAGCACATTTCTGTCGTCTGAAGCCCCCGGTTTGCAACGGTTCGCTCTGAGGCCCTAGGCAGTGTCGGGTGCAGCGGGGAAGCACGGTGAAGGACCTGGGCTGCAGCCCTGCCCAGCGACACGCTCCTGTGCGTCCAGCGGCAAATCCCCAAATCTCGTCTTCCCTGTCTGCAAGAAGGGCGGGGGGCATTGTGTGGGACCAGCATTTGCCAGTTTTGCTAATACCTAGAATTGCCTGGCACCCATTAGAATTGTAGTTTATTAGACCTTTCCTCTAGATTTTCAGAATCGCTGGCTCTGGACAGGGACCAGAGATATGTTTTTGAGAAACTGCCCAGGTAGTGGCCATGAACAGACTCTTGCGGTTGCTGCCCTCTCTGGCATTCCAGGTTTCTCCGGGGTCCGGCGCTGCCCCCTGAGCACACACGCTCTGTGTGAGCCTGCCTGCCTGGTCGGCGCGGTGTCTGCCCCACAACCAGGCAACCAAGCCAGGACAGCAGAATCACACCCGTACCTCCGGCACGTTGCTGGGAAAGTGGCCAGTGCTTAGGAATCGTGTATCGAACAAAGAGGCAAACTGACTTGATGTACAAACCTCCTGCTCTGGGACCGGGATCCGGGACTTGTGAGCTGTGCTTCTGGAGCTCTCAGATGCACCCCGTGCTGTGAATGGGACCTGCCCCCTTCCCGTCCACTCCAGCTCCCCAAGCCCTTTCATGCCCTTTCAGAGGCATGCATGCATAACGCAGAGGCGATCTAAGTCACCTGATCTTGTGAGGGGGGTCCTGTGGCGCTCCCCATTTTGCAGAGAGGGGAGAGACTGAGCTTCAGAGAGCGGAGGGGACTTGCTCAGGGCCCCAGAGCCAGGGGTGGAGCTGGAGTTGGAACCCAGGGGCGTTGACCCAGTATCTTAGCTTCTCCGTCATTCCATTAGCCCCCCTCTCAGAGCAAGTTCATTGCCGGCAGGATCCAGTCCGAGCAACTGGGCTGGTCCCGTCTTCTTGTCCCGCTTCCCTCTCCGGAGAGATCGCCCGTCATGGTCCTCACCCTGCACTCCGGCGGCTCCTCAGCCTTCTGGTCCTCCTGCTGGGAGTCCTCCCCTCTCCCTCCTGCTGCCGGGGAGTCAGGAGCCCGGGCCTGGTTCTCACAGACGCCTGTGCCTTCAGCAGTTGTGGCCGCAGCCCCGCTGTCCACAAGGCTTAGCTTCTCCCATCCTCCAAGTCTTTGCTCAGATGCCCCCCGGCCTGCCAGGGAGGCCTTCCAGAACCGTCTTTTTAAAACCTGCAGTCTCCCCAGCTGTGCCACCACCCTAGCCCCCATCCCCATTGTTACGTTTTTTCCCACAGCCCCTGTCACCTTCAAATACACCGTGTCATTGACTCACGTGTCTTGTTTCAGGATCCGTCCCGCTCCCTGGAATGGAAGCTCCGTGAGGATGGGCATCGCTGCCTGGGACAGCGCCTGGCCCGGTGCCGGGGCTGCACCTCAGTCAAGGTGTGTGGAGTGAGTGGAGGGACATGGACCATGCGGTCACAGCCATCTGTCGTGTGTCTCTCTTCCTCCTGGCACCGAGAGCTGCTTTCAGGAGGGGCTTTGTCAGATTCACTTCTGTGTCTCCAGCCACTCACCAAGGGCCTAGCTCTTAGTAAGCCCTTGGGAAGCCTTTGTTGAATAAATAAACGAATAAGTGAATGGATGGATGGATGGATGGATGGATGGTTGGATGGTTGGATGGACAGGTGGACAAGTGGATGGATGGATAGATGAATAGGTGGATGGATGGATGGTTGGATGGGTGGATGGATGGATAGGTGGATTTCTTTCCCAGAGGAGAGATTGCTTGGCAAACTGTAGCAAATGAGTACCCCCATATGGCCTTGCCTATGGCTGCTGGGATGTTCAGAGCCCCAGGAACTGATCATGACTATAAAAGTTGACCACCAGGAGCAAATCCAGCTGGCTGGGGCGAAAGAAAGAGGTAATGGTGGTATCAGCCTCGACTCTGCCCAGGTCTCGCTCTGCCTCTTTGCCCCTTGCTGGGAGGGAGAACTTGTCTTCCCCTGACGTCTGAGAATCTGCCCTCTGCACCCCCTTGCACAGCCCCCCCGCCCCCCACCCCCGCCCCCCCCAGCCCCCAGCAGCTGCTTCTCAGGAAACAGAGCAGGAAGGAGGCAGCAGCTCCCCGTGGCTCCTGGGGCCAGCAGCACTTGTCCTTGCTGTTCTGTTTCTTCCTCCCTGTCCCCTTGCCCTGATCCCAGCTCCGACAGACCCCGAAATGTAACCGCCCACCTCGGAAGGCTAAGGTGCTGTGGGTCTCTCCGCTTAAAAGAGTTGTCACAGAGCCACTGTGACAACTAGCTGGCTGGAAGTGGGGCGACCGAGGGAGTCCCGAAGAGCTGGTGCTCACGCAGTGCTCCTGCTTAGTGAGGAAGTTCCCCTCCTGCTGCAGAAGTGGCTAGCCTCCGCCTGTCCCCCCAAGCAGGGGCGTGAGTCCTGGGGACCTTCACCCCCCCCCCCCCAGCAGGGCAGGAGTTTTTGCTGCCTCACCCAGGCAGAGCGTAAGCCTGAACTCTCTGCGCACAACCTCCGCTGGGAAGGTGGGGCTGATAGCAGCGGCTCCAAGGTCAAGGGGATCGCAGAGACGTCATCCATCTGGCTGGGAGGAAGGTCCTGTCACCTGGACCCTGAGGGTAACAGCCAGTACAGGTGACAGTCTCAGTCAGGACTGTGCTGATCACACAGTCCAAAGGGACCTACAGAATCTGCCGCGGCCCGGCCGCAGCGGGGTCCAGGGGTTCCTGAAAGGTAGGTGAGGCGTTGGCGACGGGAGACAGATGACAACACATCTCAGAGGACAGTGATGCTCTGTTCCGTTTATTGCGAGCACAAGCAGGTTTTTATATTTTCATTTTTGGTAGTGATTAACATTTGCGGTTAGGTGAAGCAGAAAAAAATCAATACAAAGGTAACCAGGAAAAGTAAGAAAGTTTCCATAGATTCAGTTATATTAAACAAAGATTGTTTTGACCAGGAGAGCCATAAATCAGACAATTAGAAATAGCTGTACGTACAGAGTTTGAATGTCTTATTGTTTATTAAAGTTCTCAGAATTTGCCATAGGGCAAAAGGATACGCTAGATTGAGTAAAGGTAATAGGAAATTTATTATAAGGCCTTTGTGATGTCTAACTCAGCTATCTATCTTTTCTGTCTAAAATGTTGCTCTATGCACCATGGACTCTGACTCCCTGGTAACTGTTTTTACGTGCTTAGTTTGTAACAGCTAACCAGCTTCTCTTATTTCTTTGCCTAATTCTACTTGATGTATATTCCTATTCAAGGTAAAGGAGGGGCTGTTACTCCAACAACTTTTAGACATTCAGGGGCTATTTCATTAGAGGGGATTTTGTTCTCTGGCCAAGAAATTATTTTGTACAACTTCATTGGAATTATGCAAATCAATAAACCTGAAATACAGGTGTCTAACAATCCCACCACCTTTTGATCACCAAAACAAACATGTAAGGAGAGATAAAGAGGAAATCTAGCCACAGTAAAACTTTTTAGTTCCTTAATTAATAAACACCAGGGAGGTCTGCTTTGAGCTAGCCTTTCCATGAAATTTAGACTATTATAAGGCACTTGGACTCCATCCTTATTGACCATTCTAATGCCATCCTCATTATATGCTCCTGTATAAGGCAATGGGGGATCTGGAGCCCTCTGGAGACTATTAGCTCCTCTTGGGAGATACCATAATTTGCCATCAATCCAATATGCTACCCAGGGGTATCCCTGGGCTGTGGGTAGGGGTCTATATAGTTTTTTCTTGTTTTCTTGAAAGACCCTTTGTATCTGTGGGTAAGGAACAGGCGTGGGAAAATCTGCCAGTAATTCAGCCTGTTGTAACTTATTCATGAATTCTTTTATGGGAACAATCAGAGATAATTTCTTACTCAGGTTTATAAATACCTTGTTTAAAACAATTTGAGTATGATTCAATAGTCTAGGGAGAACTAGTTGTCCCTTCAGAATTTCCCTCAAAGTTAATTGTTGACTCACTTCGAGACTTTTTCTCCTCATGGCCTGTTCTTATGGGAATCAGGGTACAAAGTCAGACCATGATCAATATTAGCCAGGAAATTATTAGGAGCAATCCCCAGGAAAATGACCGCCCCCCCCCCTCCTTTGTATGCCACGCTCTCTTCCAGGAAGATGGATTCCTTGAATTCCCTCTTTCCACGTTCGGACCTTGTCAGACAACATGGTTGAAAGAGGACGTGGCAAGAATCTGTTCACATTTGTTGTTGTTGTTGTTGTTGTTGTTGTTCTAATTTCTGATGTCATGACCGTGTAGATGTAGGTGGTGGTGGCGGCGGCGGCGGCGGTGGCAATGTCTGTGAGGGGCAGGGCAGAGGCAGGGAGAGGAGGCAAGAGGCCATGTGGCAGCTCGGACTCAGGCACAAGAGCCGCTTCTGATGGAAAGTGGTCGGATTCTGGGTGGGCCCCAGGGTCCGGGCGGGGTGTGGGGAGGAGGTGAAACAAGGCTGCCAGCTGCCTGCCAGAGAAAGCCCACAGAGGAGCAGGTTTGCGGGGGTGGGGGAGGGGGTCTAACGACGTGGGGGAGTCGTCAGCACCCAGATGGATCTGGGGTCAGAGACCCTGTGCAGCAAGTTCAGAGAGGAGAGGGGGCAGGAGCCCCACCGAGGAATCTGGAAGGAGGCCAGGGAGAAGGGAGAGAACCGGCGGGGGCTCGGTGAGGCGTCTAAACCACGTGCTGAGTCTCCCCGGGAATCACAAGGTCATGGGGACCCTCTCGGGATGGCCGGAGGCTCCTGCTGCTCCCACGTGCGCACCCAGGTCAAGCCGCACGAGAGACCGGGAGGACCTGAATGAGCAGCTAAGTGTAAATATTTATGTGGGACCTGCTGAATTTCATGAATGATTGACTTAAACCGATGTTAAAAACAGGTCCCATTCACAAGTCTCTGCTGCCCAGCAGAGTATTGTGTCCACACGCGATCATGAGTCCTCACACAGGGACGTGGTGTCACGCTTGCGACGCAGCTAAGGAAGCTGAGCTGAGAGAGGTCGGCCGCGTGGCTAAGGTCGCACCGCTGGGTGGGGGCAGAGCCAGGGACGGAAGCCGGGTGGCGGCGGGTGCCGCCATACCCTTCCTGCTTTGCCCAGACTGATGAGCGAGGAGGAGGAGGAGGAAGGGCTGCGTCTGAGACCGTCCCACGCCACTTTCTCAGAAACAGGTTGAAATTTTGAATGGACTTCCAGATGCTGACTTGTCCGAGGCCCAGGGCTGACCGTGAACCAGCCATGCAGGGTGTGTGCAGTGGAGGCCGTGGCCCCAGGGGGACTTCAAGGAGACACTACAGGGGACCAGCCAACCCTGAGATCGGCAGTCTCTTTCACCTTTGCACACTTTTAGAAGTAGCTCTCCAAGCCCTGGCTGCCGTAGCTCAGTGGATTGAGCTCAGGCTGCAAACCAAAGTGTCACAGGTTCGATTCCCAGTCAGGGCACATGCCAGGGTTGCAGGCCATGACCCCCAGCAACCGCACATTGATGTTTCTCTCTCTCTCTCTCTCTCTTTCTCCCTCCCTTCTCTCTCTAAAAATAAATAAATAAAATCTTAAAGAAAAAAAAAAAAGAAGTAGTTCTCCATCCTAACATCTAAACATTGTAGAAAGCACTTCTGTCATTTTTCTCTTGAAAATGTTTTCAGCCACAAAAGAGGGCTGCTTGTTTTCCGGGCTTCGTTTTTACGAGTGCCGTAGTTACGCGTTGACTTTTGTAAAATGAAAGGGGAAACAGCCCCGGGGGGAGTGGCACCAACCCTCTCTGGAGGTCCCCGTGACCAGACAGACACTCACTCACCGCCCCCGCTCTCTGAATGACTGACACTCCCAGGGGGTCTCCGGGGCTGTGTGTGAGTTCACCGGTTCTTCTCACCGCGAAGGACTGGTTCCTCCGCCCGAGTCGTCAGGCCCACATCAGGCCCGACCCAGGACGGAACGGCCCAGCCCCACGGGCTTTCTGGTTGACCTTCCAGATAAGGGGCGTGGGCGTGGAGAGATCAGAACGGCGCACCTTGCAGGAGCCAGGTAAACGGGCCAGCTGGACTCCTGGTTATAGCCGCCTCAGACGCGCCCCGAGGGCCCCGGGCGGAGAACAAGTTGAGTGGCGGGGGAGGGTGGAGGCTCCCGGTTGAATCAGTGGGGAAACTACACCCCCAGGTTCTGCAAATGCACAGGAAACCTGGGAGGTAAGCAGCCAGAGAACAGCCTGCTTAGCAGGTCCCTGACCTGCCTCTGCCTGCCTCCCTGTGCTTCCCCGACGGCCCCTGCCTCCCCGTGTCAGACTCTGGGCGCAGCATCGGTAGGGCCACCCACCTTGTGACCCAGGACCTTCATGACCCGCTTACGTCACCCAGGGGGTGGGCAGCACAGCCAGAATTGGAATCCAGGTCGGGGATGCCAAAGGCT